TCAGTAGGACACCCCCTGAGGGCTCCCAGACTCTGTGAGGGGGCAGGCTGGGCTGAGGGAACCCCCACCCCAGTGCATGAATTTCATGCACCGGGCCTCTAGTTATATAGAATAGCTGTTCCATCAGTGGGTAAACATACATAGTTTAACCATAAGTTATTATTTTTAGTAAAAGTAATTTTCTGTTCTATTTGATGGTTCATAAAGAAATAGTTCTTGTATTTCATCACTAAAACCACTTAGCAAATACAATAAGCTGAGATGTGATGGAGATACCTAGACTAAATAGCCAACCTCCCACACTGTATTACTTGTTCTCATACTTATTTCTTCTTAACTTCAGTGATGTTTCTTGTGCCGCTTCCAGGAATATTTGCTGATAAAGGAATACACTTGTATCAGTTTCCATGTTATTTTCAGTATATTATTTCAACCATTTTCAACCTCAATAGGAAGAACAAGGGTATTTGCCTTTCTACCATCTACAAAAGATGCTTATAAATATTTACCATTGTATGTAGTATGTAAAGGATGGGTTAATTCTTACTTGACTTTAAACATCACTGGAAAAAACTGTAGAGGTTCTTCATGCTCTTCACACTTAGTTTTTAAATCTGACTTGCAAGGTGATGCCACAAGAAAATTGTATTACATCACAACATGCAAAACACGGGCACCACTGTCACCCTCCATAGTGTGAAACTCTTCAGCCCTCAGGAGGTCTCACAGTGTCTGTGCTACATGTGACTAATTTAGCCATGAAGACAGGCATGTTTGTGTCAACCCTTCCATGATATATTAGAATAGCTTAATTTTTTTTCAAACATAAAAACATAAATAAATGTTCTAATATGTTCTTCCTACATGCACCTCATTTTAGAGACCACACATAAGAAATGAGTTACACACTGGCAAAACAGGCAATGTAGAGGTCATTGGAGCAACCACTATCTCATTGAAAATCAAGTAGGCTTGATACTATAAATGCCATTCTTTTAGTGATGAGCACACATTTATAAATGCAATTTAAGTACTTTAATATTTTTAATCAGAAATATCCTAGTGTACTTCCTTTATTTATTTAGTTAGTTATTCCTCCCTGGATTGATACTTTTTCCATTGATTTTTTTTTAAGAGAGATTGGAAGGGAGGGGGAGAAACAGAGAGAGAAACATTGATCTGAGAGAAACACATGGATTGGTCGCCTCTCACACGCTCCCCGACTGGGGCTGGGAACCGAGGTTGCCATCGAGGTACGTGCCCTTGTCCAGAATCAAATTCGAGACCCTTTAGTCCATAGGCCTATGCTCTAACCCAGCCGTGGGCAAACTACGGCCCGCGGGCTGGATCCGGCCTGTTAGAAATGAATAAAACTAAAAAAAAAAAAAAAAAAAAAAAAAGACCGTACCCTTTTATGTAATGATGTTTACTTTGAATTTATATTAGTTCACACAAACACTCCATCCATGCTTTTGTTTCGGCCCTCCAGTCCAGTTTAAGAACCCATTGTGGCCCTTGAGTCAAAAAGTTTGCCCACCCCTGCTCTAACCAGTAAGCCAAACTGGCCAGGCAGGGCCTAGTGTACTTTCTCTAAGTAAACAGAGGCATGAGGACAGGCTATTAATTTCCGTTTTTAGTTGGTAAATATCAAAGTAACTGTCTTGTGCTGAATAATGTCCCCACCCTAATCCCTGGAACTATAAATATGTTACCTTATCTGAAAAAGGGGCTTTGCAGATGTGATAAAGGACCCAGGGACAGAGATGACCTTTGGCTGACAGAGCAGGCCCGATGACCCGAAGGAGTGCCAGGTTTGAGGTGTAGGGATGGATGCCGAAGCTGAACGCTGGACAGGCTGTGCTGCACAGATCTTCCAGGCGCTGAGCAGCTGGAAGGTGGACACCCCAGTGAATGCCATCACAAAGGGCTAACGAGTACAAAGACCAGACACTAGATGCTCCAGAGAACCAGGGATAAACCAGGGAGAACAACTCGCTCCCCAGACCCCCCACAGGGCCATGACTGCATACTGTGTAAACAAAGGCCAAAGGTCAGATGCCAACTTCAGGGAAGAAGAGGGGCTAGGGAAAATCCTGATTTGACTGTATTTTATTTTAACTATAAAAATGTTAATTTTCATAGTTGAACTTTATAGTATGAAAATACCACACTTGTTACTGTGTCCCTAATAAACCTGGCACACAGACAGTACCCAATAAACACTTGTCCTACCTTCTTTCTCCCATCCACTTTCATCTGGCCTCCTCTTCAGCTATGAGCTATATTCCTGAGACTACAATTTAAACATATTCAGAATGGAGGCATCATGGCCATCCCAGACCTCATTATACTTCTGAACTTGAATATATGACTAAGGGATTCTGAGAAGCTAGTCTGATTTGGAGGTAGAAATAAATTTAAGAGCACATGACTTGCAAGCTTGACCCGGGCGTTCTGGCATCTCTGATGGATGTTTTCCTGCTGCCAGAGAACAGGTTGAAAGGGAGAATGAGCTTCTGATAAATGTTAACAGGAACCCTCTATTTAGCCTGAAATGGCAACAGACAGATCAATGCCTCACATGCAGGTCTGTGACAGTGAATTCATTATAGATCTTATAAAGCATTTAGCTACAAAAAAAAAGAAAGGCAACAGCAAGTAGCATGCGAAAATATGTAAGTTACAAGCCTGAATGGAACCTAGAAAACACTGCTGCACCATTTTCAGGTTCTAATAGTCCTTTCCTATGGAAATGCTGTTTTTCCTCCAGTCTAATTTTAAGAGCAAGGAGTTTTGATAATCTCCCACAGGACTGTGTTATAAAATTGAAAAATACTATCCATGAAGCGCTTTGAGGATATTTATAGTGTAAGCATTAACAGTTGTCAAGCAGAAATCATCAAGAGAGCCACTGAGCCCCCTTAACTGTGTTCAAAGGTGTCTTGGGATTACAGTGTATAAACTCCATCATCTTAAGTTTAAAATTTAATTATTAAAAGGTGAGTATTTAACACATGATTTCCTTTCATGAATTTTTATGTAAGAAACTTGAAAAAGCATGAGACTATTTTTCATACTTTACATTCACAAAGTGTTCACGGGTATTCTCAAATTATTCAGGTCCCTGGTTTGATTTTTTTTTTTACTTCAGCACCACCATGAGCTGAGCTTTCTTTTACATTTGCTTGAACAGATCAAATTTTCTACCAACTTTTTTCCCTCAGGTAATCCCTGTTGGGTACAATCAAAGGAAATATTCTTGTCCACTCTCCTGTTCTTTCTATATTGTTCCTTAAGAAACCCACTAACTTACAAGGTTTTAATTATGAAAGCACTGGGTCTAGAAGAGTGCAAATAATGTTTGAGAATTCATTAAGGCTAACTATGATAAGCATTGTGGTTGACTCTCCAACCCTGACTCCATCAGACTCCCATTAATTATCAATAGCACGATTTGGAAGTTTATTTCCATTAAGGAGGTTCTGATTGCCAAGAGATGAGATTACCCTTGGTTCAAAAATGGGAAAATCACCCAAGTTTGGCAAATGTGGAAAGAAGGGTTTTGCTAATGGCTTCTGGGAAAGTTCCCTTACACATATAAGAGCCATGAGAAATCAGTCTTGCAACCATGGTAGTGACAAGCCTTTGGATCAGGCCACAGTTGTAGGTGGCCAACCTGCCTGAGATAAATGACACAGGTCTTCAATCACATTATTGAACTGCTAGATGAACCGACCTTCTTGACTTCCTCTCAGGTGGGGAAATAAACTTTTCATTGAAGTCAATTCAAGCATGCAAACAAACATTAATAGATGCCATTTCTTTCTCCTGCGTATACTCAAACACTTCTCTCCAGTTACTGTTAGGCACTTCTTATATGTCAACCCTGCAATATATCCAGAACAGAGCTCATCTCCCTCCTCAACAATATCAGTCTCTAAACGACCTAAGCTTGAAGTTCCAGAGTTACTCTTTCACTTCTGTTCAGGTACCATCATGGTTTCGAGTCATGATCTCATATCATCCACTATAGTTCTAACCTATTCCAATACAGTTCTCATATCCTGAAATTATCCATCCACTCCACTCTCATTATTATAATAGAATCAAGCAAGTTTATATTTTTCTCAAAGCATGCTTGTGTTTTATTCTTTAATTCCCACTCCAGATTGCAAAACATTAGAGATATCAGTATTTTTACTGTACACATTTTCTAAACTCATTGTTATATATTTTTTAAGAGAGAGAGGTAGAGAGAGAGAGAGAGAGAACATCAATGAGGAGAGAGAATCATTGATTGACCGCCTCCTGCACACCCTCTACAGGGGATCGAGGCTGCAACCGAACCCTGAGATCCTGGCTCATAGGTCAATGCTCAACCACTGAGCCATGCCAGCTGGGCTCATTTTTATCACTGAGGAAGCAAAAGAATAAAGATTTTATGCAAATGATCCAACAATTCACCATTCACTTCACCTCTTACCATAAAAATGTACTGCATTCAAAAACAGCTTCCCATCAAAAATAAAGTTCCTTGTTAAAATTTTTCTATAAAAACAGATGAAACCAGTTTGGCTCAGTGGATAGAGCGTCAGCCTGCGGACTGAAAGGTCCCAGGTTCGATTCCGGTCAAGGGCATGTACCTGGGTTGCGGGCACATCCCCAGTAGGAGATGTGCAGGAGGCAGCTGATCGATGTTTCTAACTCTCTATCTCTCTCCCTTCCTCTCTGTAAAAAATCAATAAAAATATATTTTAAAAAAAATTTTTCTATAAAAACAATATCAAGAGTGTGGTGATAGTTTCAGAGGTATACATTTATGCCCAAACTTGTCATACTGTACAGTTTATATATGCAATTTATGATGTCAATTTATACCTCAGTGAAGATGGTAAATAAAACATCACAAAAAGTCACATACTGAAATATGACTAAAGTACTTGGAAGGTAGACACACAAAAAACACACACAAGAAAAATAAATAAAAAAAGAACCACTCCTTAAATGCATCAGCAATTTTATTTACAAATACAGTTGGACAGAAAGGCTCACTATTTCCTGGTATACAATTTTTGGTATACAAACTATAGTGATTTTTCATTAATGAAAAGCAGCAGCTTTCTATTGAAAACTGGCTAGTGACAATTCTAAAGAAAACAGGGCTTCCCTCATCAAGCAAATAGCATTTCATATAAGCTAATTGTTTTCAAATCATAATATATAGCTGAAAAGAAGGATACAGAAAGCAAATTTGGGGGTGTATTTTAGTGACATTTTCCATATGGTTCTGTATTAATTTAGCATACATTACAATAAACAGCAAATGCAATTATATATTTATATTAACTATTTCAAATAATGTTTTAGAACCTTTTAAAAAAACAATAAAATAACCCTCTTCAAAACCCCACTGATCATTATCAGCCTCAAAAATATTTTGAAGTTCTTTTTACCCTTGTGCTGTTAGGATGCTGAACTCAGAAAGTAAATACTGCACTTTTCCCCACACATAATTACCTCCTTATAAATAAACAACAACAAAAATACAGGTTCTACCAAGTCTATACTGCTCTGATATAATCTAGAGGCCAAAAAAAAAAAGTGTTATTCTTTAAAAAAAGAGAAAGAGAGAAAGACATACAACATATATTTATAGATCTACATCAGCAGCAACCAACTCTTCTTCTATCTGCAACAGTGCTTTCGTATGGAGGCTTACATCACATGGCGGTTGGCCGTCCAGCTGATCAGGCAGGGAGAGAAGAAAGAACAGCGCTTAGATTCAGAAACTCTGGAATAGTGCCGTTTGGGATGCATAGCAGTAATCACTCAGAGAATGGCCTCTCGAGGTAGAAAGTCACCTTGTCACTCACTGAGGATAAAGCGAGGCAAATCACAGCCTCTGGATACTAGAAGTCTTGGAACTGCTGGTATAGAAGTAAGTTACACTCAACTCTCTTTTATTTGTGTTGGAGAAAAGGCATGGGTACTTTTTCCATGGTGAGTCCCCCAAATATAAATTCTATTTGGCTTTGAAATTTGATTGAAGAGAGAAAAGCACACACACATATACACACTCCCCCCCATTGCACACCCAGCCTTGACATTCTCCAAGCTCAGTGGCAGCATCCAGAGAAGGACTGGGCTGCTGGGGTAAGAAGACTCAGACCCCGCTGACAGATAAAAGAGAGTTGACTGGGCTAAAACCATTTCCAAAGCACTCTTCACATAAAGGGCCATATAAATACCTCTGAGTTCAAAAGCAAAGGGATTTGCTGATACCACTTGTAACACCCTTTCACATTGGGAAGAAATACATGTTACCAGCATCAAGGTTCAAAACATACACGGCAGTAATGGCTGTCTTCGTGGAGCTATAAGCAATACGCAATCTAATCGCGCTACCCGCGGTTTCATAGCACACTTAGAAACAAAAACATGATTAGACGCAAAATAGCATGTGACGTTGTTGAAAAACTCAACTTTTCCGAAAATAACAGTGAAGTGCCATATAATCAGACCTCATGCTCTCCTTTTAAAAATGGGTATGCTGATATCTGATTACGTAATAACGAAGCATAACATAAACTGACTATTCTCTATGACCTTTCAAACCACAGTTTTTAAAACTGATTATATTCTAAATCACATAATCAGAGCCCCTTGTTAAATAATAAAAACCAGCTAACGGCTAATGATGAGAGAACACTTGATGACAGTCTACACCAAAAATTCATGTTAACTGTGTTTCAGTTTGTTCAGATCCTCAGGTCATTGGCAGTTTCTCCAGACGGAGCAGACCCCACAGGACATCGTCCTGGTTCGGGCACACGCCCCTCTCCAGTTCCTCAGCCCCACACCCACCCTGTGTGGCTGCACTCCCGAGCTCTGACCCACCCACCGTACCCTCTTGGAATGGGTGGGCCACACTAAGGTTCCTGAGACCTGGAGTTCTAAGGCAGGGAGCTCGAGGGGGAGATGGACGCAGGTTCAGGGAAATGCATGGGAACGCGCGGTTTCCTTAAAAGATTAGAAATTTTCTCCCTGATTTGCTCTCTTACATTTGAATCGGAGATAGCAGTTGTTGCAGTAGAGCTGGCTGTTTCGGATTCTGACTTCGGCTCCTGAGGAAGAGCCTCCGAGGTCACACTCACAGGCAACACACTGAGAACAAAAAAAAATGCACATGCGATGAGCTCAAGAAAGGTTGGGGCGCTCCTGGGAAAAACAACTGCGCAAAATGCAGCTAATAAGCTCTTAGATATATTTCAGGGGGGAAAAGCCAAAAGATAATTAGTAGATTAAAATCAAGCCTGATAGATGAGACATTAAAGAATTCATAGAGCCAATTTTAAGAGCCAAGATGATCATTCTAAATATATCAAAAGAGCAAAAACAATTCATTGACTGGCTTACAGAAAGCGAGTCTTCTCACTGGGGAATGAGTGAGGATAAAGCACCACATGAAAGAACCGTGGGAGTGAATGGATGCTGGGGGTCTGGCACTCCGCTCTGGCGTGGGACTCGCCCAGGGCTCCCACTGCACCAGCCTGGCAACTGTTCGCACCTCAAGGCTGGGCATTTTGGTTCCAAGTGCTCCAACACTAATAATTGTGACTCATTCTGCTTTCCCTAGAAACAGGCCACGCCAGCAATATACAAGCTTAAACAAGCTGTGGTCTGTGGGACTCTGGGATCAACAACCAGAATCACACTATGGCCCAACACAAGTTCAAGAATCAAATAGATGTGTCTCTAAAGACAGTTACCGTGAAATAAAGTCATTACAGCCTTAGTTCTTTCTCATGTGTAAGCAACCATCAAGTGCAAGCAGCTGTGCAACTGTAAAAATATTTCCCATGCTTTTCCTTAGTCAAAGCTAGGCTTTTAGATACTTTTATAATTGCATGTCCCTTCCCCATACTGTTAATGACATTATTAAATTACATTTCAAATATGCCTAGGACCGCATGACAGAGAAAGCATTTATGCACTGTAAATTTTACTAATGGAATCTTAAGAGATTGGAGATGGGAAGTGCAGAGCATTTCCACAACTTTTGAAACCAGGTTCAGGATTTGAGAACTAAGTAGTAGCAAGCCATTTGCAAATGATTCCAAATGCAGCACAGATCGACAAATACAGCAGCACCTAGCTCGCTAACGGCAGGTCCATCCCCAGCGCGCAAAGCAGCCATGCGCTCTCCAAGCAAAGCTTTGCAGGGCAGCAGCGGCTGTTTATCTTAATCTCACCTTAAAACAATATAAATGATAACAAAGACCCAGGGACTCGATGATCATGGCAGCTCCTTTGCCCAGAATGTTATTACAGTAGGAGCACACGCGCTTCCCACTGACTGACCTAGATGCAGAACGAGAGTGGAATGGAGGCTTTCATCTGTGCAGCTCAAGGTTATTATTTTACAATCACACTTGGGTGTTAACAGTAACAATTTAGGAAAGTCTCTAATCTGTGGGAGGAAAAGTTTCACCAGCCAATCAAAATGTGCCCTGCTTATATTATACCTTGAAGGATCTCTGTGATGGTTCAGAAATCCTTGATGCCTATTCAATAAATGAACAATTTTGGTGTAATTAGTGCACTCTGCATTTCGAGAGGCTATCCTCCTTAGATCAACTTGTATTCAGCAGTCTCTCCCCTCTTCCAAAGCACAAGTCTAATCATGTCATCTCTCACCAAAAGAGCAGCCCCACCACTTCTTCCGAAAGGCCTTGTAAGCTACCCTCCCAACCTTAGTTTCCCATCCTCTTTTTCATTCGCCCAATATTTCATTTAAACAGAAGTAGCTGCTTTCCTTACTGTGCCTCTGGCTTAAGGACTGCCTCTGGAGAGCATGAAACGGAAAATGCCTGTCAGCTACCATTTAGATAAGTAAGGAGAGTTTCTACCTCCCTTTGGATACAAGTCTCACCTTTTCTCCAAGGCGGGAAGGGGTAGGCCACTTCTTACCTCTGGATGCCACAGTACTAGCCTAGCACTTCGGTGGCACTGAAAAGTGCACAGCTGTGGAGTGCCTCATGACAGAGCACCACCTCCCAGACACAGGCCTTTTCAGGCAGAAAAGCCCTTGCCCGTCTCCTGTGTGTTCTCCCAGGGGAGGCTCTCAGGAAATGGGTACTGCCCCCTCCCTTGGCCTTCATCTTCCTTTATAATTGACCATAAATTCTCACCCCATCTTCTCTCAACTCAAACTCCCTGACACATTTTATAGATCCTGGTACAAGCAACATTTTTAGATGCATCTAAAGTATATTCTCTTAAGAAAAACCCCTTATTTAATGGGTAAAAAAATCCCAATATAAATCATTGTGTTTCTACTTTTCAGTATTTCATTTGCATGAGAAGCAGTATACTGGTACGCTAGCAGCACTACCTTTGGGTAACTCTAGAAACACTGCTGTGTGTGGCTTCATGAAGCCTCAGTGCTCAGTGGAGAAGCTACGCAGATCTAAACACCCAATGCCTGCTGCTATCTGAGCTTTCCTCCATAGCAAAAGGCAAGTTTTTATTCAAGACCTATGGTTATAACTCCTCCACAGTTCCCATGGCATATGATCCACAGAATCAGTTGATGTCGTCTGAACAAAATGTCGGCAAACCAGTAAGAGGCAGGCAATACTTTTGAAAATCAAGAACCAAAAAAACAAAAAACAAACATAAAAAACCAGTATCTAACTGCTTAAAAGTTCCATAGACAATGGAGCTTGGTTACAATGCTTTCCTTTTACACTCAGTTTCTATAAAATGAGTTTGTATTGTCTCATTAAAGCAGTCAACCCTTTTACAAGACTGCTTTTGCTCATGAATTTCAAATGCATTCATAGGCTACTGTGTATCTGTATGATTGCATACTGAGAACGATCCAGGTACATCTGCACCCAAGTCACTGACCACAGCACTGGCCAATGAGACAGCGGCAATGATGCTGGTATTTGAGAGGTCACCAAGGGCTTCGGGAGACATCCATAAATCCTCTTAGAAAGCTATGAGGAAAGCCCTTTGAACTGATCTCACAAAAGAACACTGAACTTGATACATTCAAAAAGGCATGGCTTTCTTTGGGAAGCTTGGACAAGATTTGGAGGGAATTTTAATGAAAAAATACCCCTGAAATTAAGAAAAGGAGAAACCCAAAGGGCCTCACCTGTTACGTGGCTGGGATGGGGAAGTTGAAGGGAAATGGCTGCGTGGAGTGGGCGACGGTGCGGGGCTGGTCTTCACGGGCCCCGCTGCAGGCGGGTGTACGCTGGAGGACGGATTTCGCATGTAGGCACGGTTAGATGTGGACACCAGCTGAGGGGGTGGGCGGCTGAAGTCTTGGACAGAGGAAGAAGCATAGACCCCAGTGGACTGACTGAGCCAAGGGGACTGTCTCCAAGAATTGGACCTTGGGGACTCCAGGTTATCTAGAGATTCGCCTCTAAAACAGAAAGGATTAGCCACAATTACATAACACAGTCAACCAGAAATTATTTAACATTACAGTCACTAAAACATCACTTTTATATATTTTATAAGGACGTGTTAATCTAACAAGTCCAAGCACATATAAATTTACTTTTAAAACTGAAGTTTCTTTTCATCAGAGGCATCCTGGCGTTTCATATTCAGTTAACCTTCATTGATTTCTATTTTTATTTACTTGGTGCTTAGGTTAAAGAATAAATACCAAAGTAGAAAGGAAAAGACAAAGAAAAGTATTTTTAAATAAAATACTCAGACAAAGACCACATATATTTGCCCTTTAAATCTTTAACTGTTTAGACATACCAATCTTCACTTTTAGACCCCAAACAAATGAAACCACACACATCTTTTTAAACACCTACATATGTCCGGTATTAGACTAAACACTGTCACAAAAGTATTGAATTATTTAATCTTCACAATACTATGTACAATATATATATATAATCTCATAGAAGTTAACTTGTCCATAATAAGAAGAGCTAGCCAGTGGTGGACTGGCTTTCAAACCAGTCTCCCTGATTCCAAAGTAATCCAGGCCATTGCTACTGTGTAGCCCTCATTCATTCACCACCAAAACCTCATGCAAATACAAAGTTTGGGAAATCTCTCTTAAATGAAGTAATATACTTACATTAATTCTTATCTATAAAAAAATGACTCCAAATTATGAGGGTATGTTTCTACCTAGTCAATTTTGTTATTATTTTTAAAACTTTATCTCTTATCCCAAATTTTAAAAATATATATTTTTTCTTTTGAAGTTATATAAGTACTACATCATCATGATGAGAAAGACCCAGGCAGTAGAGAAAGGTATCTGAAGGAATAAGGTTTTCCCCTCTCTCACCACAATTTACCTGTGCTAATCCCAAAAGTTACCATCATTAACTGTGTATCCTTCTACAAATTGACATATGTGAGTATAGCAATGTCTATAGTCATATGCAATATATGTGATATGTTTACCATTCTTAAACAAATAGGATTATTCTACAATGCATATTCTTCATTGCTTTATTCCGTATAATATATATGGTCTTTGAACTATCTTCATGTCAGTTCATGTGATATGACACTTTCGTGGCCCCCCAATGAACCCTCCCTCCCAGCATCTGTGCCCTTGTGTAGTCCCCTCTCACTGATTCTGGGCTTGGCCATGTGACATGTAGACCTTTGGGACATGAGCAAGCATGATACAAATGGAGGTTTGCTAATAAGCATTAGGGCTTATCCTCTTGCAAGGTTTCCTCTTTGAATCCAGGTGCTGTGTCACAAGGCTGCCCAAGCAGCTATGTGGAGAGCCCACATGGAGAAAAGAGGCTCCCAGCTGAGTTCTCAGTGGAGCCTCTCCCTCAGGGGTCAGCAAATCACAGCCACGGCCAGCCTATGGACAACTTGTGGGCGAAAGGTATTTCATATTTTCAGTCATAAAACAACCAGAACAAAGAAAATCTGAGGGAGACTTATGTGGCCTACAAAGTAAATTATTCACTATCTGTCTTCATACAAAAAAAATTTGCCAGCCCGGCTCTGAATGACTACAGCTGTCCAGGTTCCCTAACCAACACCATGTAAAGAACTGCTCAGTTGACCCTCAGAACTGTGAGATGTGAATCATTATTTTAACCCACAAAGTTTTGAGTAGCAATATGCTGCTTTCAATTCTTTAATAGTTGTATCATATTCTACCTAATCTGTGAGCCACCATTTATTTAATGAGTACTACGGACACTTTTTTTAAAATTGTATATTTAATAATATTTAAGTACTAGAGGCCCAGTGCATGAAATTCTTGCATGGGGGGGGGGGGTGACCCTCAGCCCAGCCTGCACCCTCTCCTATCTGGGATCCCTCTCACAATCCAGGACTGCTGGCTCCCAACTGCTCACCTGCCTGCCTGATTGCCCCAACTGCTTTTGCCTTCCAGCCTGATCACCTCCTAACCACTCCCCTGTCAGCCTGATCAACGCCTAACTGCTCCCCTGCCAGCCCAATTGCCCCTAACTGCCCTCCCCTGCTGGCCTGGTCACCCCTAACTGCCCTCCCCTGCTGGCCTAGTCACCCCTAACTGCCCTGCCTTGCCAGCCTGGTTGCCCCTAACTGCCCTCCCCTGCCGGCCTGTCCCCCACAACTGCCTTCCCCTGCAGGCCTGGTCCCTCCCAACTGCCCTCCCCTGCAGGCCAGGTTCCCCCCAACTGCCCTCCCCTGCACCCCCAACTGTCCTCTCCTGCAGGCCTGGTCCCTCCCAACTGCCCTCCCCTGCTGGCCTGATCGCCCACAACTGCCCTCCCCTGCCGGCCATCTTGTGTCCACATGGGGGCGGCCATCTTGTGTGTTGGAGTGATGGTCAATTTGCATATTACTCTTTTATTAGATAGGCGAGGCCCTGGATAGGTAGCTCAGTTGGTTAGAGTGTTGCCCCAGTGAGTCAAGATTGCAGGTTCAATCCCCAGTCAGGGTACACACAAGAATCAACCAGTAAATGCATAAATGGGTGGAACAACAAATCTCTCTCTCTCTTCCCCCCACCAAAAATCAATAAAGTAATAATAATAATAAAGTATATATTCTTTGATGTATCTTTGCATACTTAACTGAACATATCCAGAAGACAAAGTGCCAGAAACTAAAGTGCTCACTGGGTACAAACAAATACTTCTGCTCAAATGGAGTTTGATAATAACTGAAAAACTGTCCAACCAATCAGGAGAATCCCTGTTTCCTTATACATTCATCAATACTAGACTTACACACTCATTTAACTCTCTACAAATCCCATATATGTTGATCTTTCATATGTTTAAAGACTTTATTTCTATTTCTAGGAACTATCTATTCTTATCAATTATCTGTTTCTATAAAGCCGTCAGGGTTTATCTACTGATTTACAAAAGTTAGTTGTACATTGAGATAATTTAGCCCTTTGCCTGCAATGTGTTGCAGATGATTTCCTTAGTTTCTTATCTGTGGAAATACTGAATAAAAGTAGCCTTAGTATTCATTTACACAAGATACATCTTTTAAAATGTTCATCCTCTCATCTCCAATTAATTTATATCTATATATTTTTCAGGAAGTTCAAAAAATTGAGTTTTCACACTGTGAACACTATTATGATTCCAATCTAACCATTTTCACACTTTGGGAACACTATTATGATTCTAATTTAACCATTATCTCATTATAAACAAATAAACAGAAGCTTAATTTTAAGTCCAGCATCCAAGGAAGCACCAAGAACTGCATGAATTATTTAAGTGCCCAAATCACACTTCAGACTTTTACATCCAGCTCTGAGTCATTTGGTTTTTGTCCACATGTATTCCCTGCTGGAGCCATAGTCTCCTCATGTGGAAAACAGGGAGCTTATCCCTGCCTCAAAACATTTTCCACAGACAAAGCAACTAGTACGGGTCTGGCACCTGAGTGCCCAATGACATTTGCTTTACTTCCCTCTCTCCCACTACATCTTGGATTAAGAGAAGAAATTATGACATCTCTTCACCCACAGTAGCCAGCATGTCTAGAAATTAAATATTTGCCTCACAGCACAGAAGAGGAAGTAATTCCTAAAATGTCTCGCACCTTCTCATAATCCCAGGCAGACAAATGGGCTCTTTATTGACGCTGGAACTGCGCTGACGGATCCAGCTGCTGTCGGTGTGAAGGGATGTTTTCTTCCTCATTTCTTGAAGGATCTGTTGCCTCTCCAACTCTGCTCCTGATGGACCTGGTTCCTTCTTGGCGCTCCTCTGTGTTGAGCTACCGTTCCCAACTCGGTCTAAATATTTATGGCTTCCTAAATTAAAAACACACCCAAAGCTGCAGGGTTAGCACGTTAAAAAAGGAAGAGTGGATGCATCTCCAAATAGAGTGTAGCAAAAAATGTGCCATTGTGCACATATGCTAAATAACATTATCAATTCTCAATGAGGCTGCTGCCTGGGAACCTACTCCTAGAAATTCCAATTCCACACCCAGAGGCACATCACAGAGCGCACTCAGGAAAACTAAGGAGGCTGCCTGAAAAGGAGACAACCACACTGATTTCAGCAATAGGGAGTTACTAAATGCTCATCCAGACGCGGTTTCTCTTCCACTTTTCCCTTCCTTACTAAATTAAGTCAATCGAGCTCATGCTCACTGAATGCTTGCTGTGACAACTCCACAGGGAGCTGGGTGTTCTCTCAAAAAACTTACACGTCCCCTGGGGAGAGAGTGAAGACATACAAGCATGCATCTGTAGATGCCATGACTAGAGCCTCCATGGTATAAGTCTATGACTTTAAGTCACGACCAAATTGAAGAAATAAGAGCATATTCAATCACTCCACTGGCTTTTGTGAAACTGAAAAATAGCCATGTCGCCCGAAGGATAACCAAGGGATGTTATGAGACTTGTTTCTCTTCTAAGAAACTGACAAAGCGACAAGTCAAATTTATGAATGAAAATTAAGTCAAGTTTTATCCTGAAGGCTTTGCCTCATTGGATTTGCTGGTTACTTTCTGGTTTGGTTAGAACATCCATAACTTTGAAATCCTCCCCACCTTGATTTGGATTAGGAAATTTCACCTAGTGATATATTTTCTTTTCTTTCCAGATTCACTGCTATTGACATTCTTTCAAAATTCATGATGTGTCTCTGCCTTAGTTCATCTTCAAGTAAGCCATGAATAAGGCTGCCAAAGGTTCCTTATGTACATCTATGTTTATATTTGTGTATCACACAACTCACCAATTTCGTCAGATTTAAATTGAAACATTTTCTATTTTAAAAGTACCTTATTGGCATAACCAAGTTTTTTAGTAAAATATTTGATAGCTTCCACTGCCTGCGATTCATTTAGTTAAGGGGAGAAGACATACATGCCAGAATAATCAGGTTAACACCAGCCACAGATACTAATGAGTCAATTTCAGAGAGTCACACTTGCCATTACTAGCACGTCATGTGTTTAAGTTCAGGAGAGAAAATGATCAATGCAGGTTAACAATGTTTCACGGCAGACAGAAGTACTTAAACCTTCATTTCCAGGGTGGTTAGTGGCAAATTCAGGGGAGAAGAAACTAGAAACCCAAATAGGTGAGACCAGAAGAACCAGGTCAGAAAGCATCTGGTAAGTTGAAGACTGAGAGAACACTTAGGTTATAGTTAAGCGTTCCTAATGGGAACAACAGCAAAAGAGGCTGGAAAGATAAACTAGGGCCAGATGATGAAAAGGAAAGGGGTGATCATAGAACCTAATAAAAACTGTAAATTCTACAAGTTTCAACAAGAAGTGACAAACTGACCATTCGGACCTGTACATGTGGTTTGGCTCACAGAGGGCTTTACATTTTTAAATTCCTTGTCAGTGCTTAATATATAACACAAAAATCCAGTTTGTGTGTTTGTTTTACTTCTCTTGCAACAGAAATGGTCCGTAATCACAGGCTTGCACTCTCCCACTTGGCAGTAACAGGCTGGAGCGGGTAGGAGTGGCTGTCCACTTAGATGGGTGTGTTCATGTTCACCAAGCTCACCTCAACCCTCACCTGGACCTCCATTCGTTTACATAACTGACCAAAGCCCTGCTTCCACAAAGCCTGGTATGCAAACCTTGCTTAAAATGATGCCTTTTTCTTAGTTTTTTTTCTTAGTTGTATAACATCAGCTACATGTGTGCCTAGCAAGGCACTCTATACTAACAATATCAGGTTCCAAATTGTTTTTGCCAAGTTAGTAAAATCATTACCACTTTGGGTTTTTTGACATCTAAATGTACAATTTCTACTTTATATGCAATTTTTAAGTCCTCTAGGGTTCTGCAGAAAACTTTTCTGTGCCATTCCTTTAGCTACAAGATGAAATCTACTATACAAACCTCTATCAGCAGCACTTGGCAAATTCCCACATATTTCATTAGCTGTTTAAAACCATTTTAAGCTCCCAGTACTCCCCCCATTATAAAGTAAAGCCAAAATAAGCAAAAGATAGTTTTGTTTTTAAACACAAATGCTAAGAATATTCGGTATTTTAACTATGTAATCTTAATGAACCGGAAATATCTTGACCTTAAAAATACTGATCGTAGCGTGTGATAGCATAAATAAACAATTTTGGAAAAACTTCACATTTACCATTTTTATTTGTGGGGAAATCATCCAGCTCGGTAGTGGACCTGGATTTATTCCTAGAACACAGAACACAGTGTATTACACATGTCTCATTAAGAACATCCCTTTCATATTTATGAAGAACCAAAAATATAACTTTTTAAAGACACAATTTATTTTCTATGTCTGTTGAGAACTACATTTATTTTTATATCAAGGATTTTTCATGTTGCACAAACTAGCAGGAAACAGTGACATCTCTAGAGGAGAGAAGAGCTTGATGCTAGAAATATATAATCATGTGAAAATCTCCTGCATCTTGTATGATGACTAAGCTTATGATTTGACCCAATTATGTACTTCAACTCTCTTCCAGACCCCAGTCTTACCGGATGTAAAAAGCTTTTGTCATCAGGGTTCCTAACATCAGACGGTCCTACTTGCTTCATACTGTCCAAGGGTCAAGAAGTCAACTTTTGGGGCACTAGGGTGCTACTCTGAAAGAGCAATTTACCAAATGCTATCCTAGCATTCTAAAGAGGCACTGAAGTGCACTGGCAGAAGCAACTTCCGAAAATGCCTGACTTTGTCATGCCAACTGTAGGTCTGCATAGCAATACTTGCTGATCTCATTCTCATTCTACTAGGCACTTTAACTTCAAATAATAATAATAAAAATGAATGATGATATATGTTACCAAACATATGCATGCTTGTCTTATATATGTACATGCATACAAGATATATGTGTGTATGTATTCATTTAATAGTGGATAATATATAATAATGTAACATGACTGTTAGCAACATTTATGAATGGTTTCATTTGTATTCACATAGAAGAAAATACTTTTATGACACACTCCTTAATTCCTTGAGGGCATGATACATCACAAATGCCTAAGTATTTCATATTTTTGAGGATTCCTTAAGTTTCCTATCTCTGCAATCTAATTATTTTCTCCAGGTAATGAGCTATATAATTAAAGCTTACTTAATTATACAAAGAAGCCCATGGCTTTAAAAAGGAGATATACATATCTTAATCATCTACAGGTACCCAGAATCACGTATTATAAGTCAGGTGATTCACCACTAGAACTTTTTCCTGCTGAATATCAGCCCGCCATTACCTGTATAGTCCTCTTCTTTTCCTATCTACTCTGAGTCCCAGTCAGTCTCCTGACTGCCTATACAGATGAGTCTTTCCTTATCTAGAAGGCAAACTTCCTTAAGAAATTTCAGCTCTGAAAACACAAATCAATGGTCATACACTGGATATTTTTATTCTGTGTAATGATTTCAAAAGTGGAACTCATTTTTTAAATTATTTAAAAACATTAAATTTAATGCTTTCGGAAATTTTGAAGAAGCACATATAACTTTTCAGATATCTGAAATCCTATCTGTATTCTCCCAAAACTGACCAGTAGTTCTAATCAAATTAAGAGAGGGGCCACATTTCTCATTTCAGATGTCCTCATGTAACTTCATTTTGGGCAAGCCTATGCCATGGCTTATAATCGCTTTTTTAAAAATTGTTAAGGTAGATTGCAAAAAATGAACACAATTCTCCCCCTGTGCCCATTCCCCATGCATTATGGCCCCTCCCATAAAGAGGCAGAGTTCTTCTCCTCTCTGTGAACTTGGGCTGGCCCTGGTGACTTTACTTGAAATAGTAGAATGTGGCAGAAGCAATGGTGTGCCAGGTCAGAGCTGAGACTGCGAGGTGCCCGGCATGCTTAATTCTCCTTAATTCTCCTTAATTCTCCTTAATTCTCTCTCTCTCGGCTCTCCCAGCCACCACGTATGCAAGGCTGCACTGCTCTGCTGCATGTTGAAAGCACACAGCCCAGTTGGTCTCATCGCTCCAGCTGACAACCAGCCAACTCCCCAGAAGTTTACCGAGTAAACTGGTAGTAGACGCATGATGAGCGCAATCAACTAAAAGAACTCTCAACTGAGTTCAGTCCAAAAAGCTGACCCACAAAATCATAAATTAAGTTACTAAGTTGAGGGGTAGTTTTACATATCAACAAGCAAGTTCTCTTTGCATCCCACAAAAGATCAAGAGCTACAGTAGTTCTACAAAAACACCTAGGCAAGCCCTCAGAAATTCATATGAAGTCAATTACTCCTACCAAATTACAAGGAAATGTTCTACACACCTGTCACTAGGAAGCAAACCTGAAGATTCTTCCTCTCCCTTTGGTATATCATAGGAATCAACAGGCCTGAAAGATGGAAAAGGTTTATGATAAAAATAAAACTTTGATGCCTTCCCTGGGTTTAAGAAATAGATAAAAAAAATCATGTTATTCTAGCACCTGTATGAGAATGCTCTCTTGTTTGAAAACTAAACACACAGAAGTATTTCAATCAATCATTGAAGAAAACAGACCTACAGCTACCAACAGACATTTGCAATTCATTCCACAAATACATGCTGTGTGCCTGCTATGACCCAGTAGGGTTCTAGGGAAACAAAACAAACTTATTGGCCTCCTAATGCTTACATTTTAAAGGGGCATGCAGGCCAACCACAAGCAAATAAATGCATATTATAAAGCAGAGAAGGGCACATGGAGGAAAGGGGTAGGGAGAGCCATGTTTCTTAGATGAGGCATTTTAGAAAGTCTGAGGAGGTGACATTGCATCAGAGACTTAAACAAAATGAGTAAGACAACAAACATGTGAGGGAACACTTCTCCAGGCACAGGAACTAGAAAATGCAAAAATCCAAGGGGCAGAATACGCTGTGCGTTCTCCAGATAGGAAAGGGATGATAGTGCAGCTATGACACACCAAGTGAGGAGAAGTCAGAGGAAGGTAGGTAGACCAAAGGGTCAAGACACTTCATACAAGCCTTCTAAGGCCCCGGAGAGGAGTTCAGGTGGTATTCTAATGTGAGGGAAGCCATTTGGAGACACTGAGCAGGAAAGTAAGGTGATAGGCTCAGATTTACAATGGGATCGGTTCACTCTGGCTGCTTGTGTTCACTTGTGTAGAGAATGAATGGTAGGGAGCAGGAAAACCAGTTAGATGCCTTCGAAGTGAGGAATGGATACAGCTAAGCCAAGCCAACTGAAAATGACATGTACCCATTGGCAAGGGAACAGACCTTCTATACTGGTATATTCTGACTGATGTCTCCCGCTCTCTCTCTGCCTGGTGCATCTGTTCTTCTGTGCGACGCTTCTGCTCCTCGGCCTGGCGCTTCTGCTCCTCGGCCTGGCGCATCTGCTCCTCTGCCTGGCGCTTCTGCTCCTCGGCCTGGCGCTTCTGCGCCTCTGCCTGGCGCTTCTGCTCCTCTGCCTGGCGCTTCTGCTCCTCGGCCTGGCGCTTCTGTTCTTCTGCCTGGCGCTTCTGCTCCTCAGCCACAGCCTGACGCCGCATCTCCTCCTGCTCTTCCTCATATTGTTGCTCCTTCAGTTCCCTCTCTTTCTCAATAGTGAGTTGTTCCTGCAGCTTCTTTCTTTGGTCCTCAATCATCCCTTCCTCGTGCCACTGTCTTCTCTCCTCTTCTCCTGCTCGGGTTCCTTCCCTGTCAGAAGACTTGGACCCTTCATCCCAGGTGGCTTCCAAGGTGGCAACAGTAGGCTCCCGTGTGGTCAGAGCTATGTTTGAGTTCAGGACCATCAGCTCCTGCACAACCAGGGGGTGAAATTTGATTAAGATATGTCTACATTCAGTTTTTTATTATATCTATTGTAGTTGGCCCAGAATTCTATTGAAATGATATTAAATTTTATCACTAACAAAGCCACACGTGGGTGATGGAGATGTAACTTAGAAGACGATACACCTAGAGTCTGTAGATAAAATAATTTAATTATTGAGTAGAGAAACTAGGAGAAATGTTGAAACATCAAAGCAAAGTTCTGATAAATCAGAGCTCATTGTATTTTTCAAAGAGATACGTTGGCGAGTGTATGACAAAAGCCAAGTGAAATGGACAGTCTTCCTTTTTTCAGCAGATTTCATCAAGACAGAGAAGGAAGAACATGTTCTAACATTACCTCATTCAAGAACTTGTCATTCTCTCTCTCAGCCTCCTGCTGAGCTCTTTGCCACTCTTCCCTTAGTTTCTCCTGCTCACGTTGGTATTTTTCCTATAAAAAAAATGATAGCATATTGATTAATTAGCTAATTACTAGGCTGATGTTAATCTTTTTCATTAGCAGTTTTGTTAGCCCCGCCTTTCACCTCAATCTTTAAAGACAGAGATATTTATTTTAACCAATCAGATTTTAGTCCTCAAAATAGAAAATACCTTATATTGAAGTAAAATGCAGGTGCTGGGAAAGGGTAGACATTCAGAATTATACCCAAATGCACCCTTTAGCATGGTTGTAATTCATTAAAGCCCCTAAAGCTAACTGTAAGGGGGGACTGAATTTCTCTGCAATAAACTGGCAGTAAGCCTCCCAAAGCCTCCTACTCATACAAGAATCTTATGTTCACTGCAGCATTATACACTATGGCCAAAACATGGAAACGTCCTTCGATGGATGATTTGATAAAGAAGATGTGAACATATATTTACTTGAATACTACTTAGCTATAAGAAAGGATAGAATATTACCATTTGCAACAGTATGGATGGATCTTAAGAGTATTGTACTAAATGAAATAAGTCAGAAAGAAATGGACAAGAACCATATGGTTTCACCCATATGTGGGATATAAAACAGAAAACAACAAACTAACTAAAGATACAAACTCATAGACACAGACAACAGAATGGTGGTTAACAGAGAGGAAAGGGATAGGGGGAGGAGGAAGAGAGTGAAGGAGGCCAAATATATGGTGATGGAAGGAGGCCAGACTTTGGGTGGTGAGTACACAATGGAATATACAGATGATGTATTATAGAACTGTACACACAAAAATTATAAAATGTTATTGACCAGTGTCCCCAAATAAATTTAATTTAAAAAATAGTACATAGAAAAAAAAGAAATCCAAACTAGAGTGCCTCATATTTTCTAAAAATAAACACAAGGGTTAATAAATGATTTTAAAAGGAGGACTCTGGAAATCGTCAAATGAAAGGTAACTGTCTTTGCGTTTTAATAGAAAATTATTTTTAATACAAAAAAATAATAATTGTATGTTAATACAAAATGCAATACCTATCAAAGTATTTGTTAATTATCAGGTTACTGGCTTTTTAAATTTATATATATATATATATATATATATATATATATATATATATTATTTTTTTATTGATTTCAGAGAGGAAGGGAGAGGGAGAGAAACATCAATAATGAGAGAGAATCATTGACTGGTTGCCTCCTGCACACACACACACACACACACACACACACACACCTCCCCCCCCCCCCGGGAATCTAGCCCACAACCCTGGCATATGCCCTGACCAGGAATCAAACCATGACCTCCTGATTCATAGGTCGATACTGAGCCACATGGGACAGGCGAATTTCTTTTTTAATTTGCTTCTCAGTACTAGTGGCATTTACAGTAACAACAGGCCTACTTCCTGTTGCTCCATGTTATTCTGCTCTACCTGCAGCAGGCGGTCCTGCTCCTTCTGCCACCTCTCCTGCCGCTTTCGCTCCTCCTCTTGATCCCACGCCCAGCGACTCGGGGCACTGATAGTTGGAACTGGAAGCTAACCAGTTATGAGAGAAGAGGTGCAAGCAAAGAATATGTTACATCATTAAGTCACCTATGGAAGCATATTTGCATACATAAGTTATTCATGTCACCCTGTGTCTAAGTTATACTAAAGGACATTTGGCTTTATATTTCAAAATAGGTCGCTTCAACTTAAAGAGACTGGGTCACCTTATTTATTCCAAAAACAAGTGAATGCTACTTACATCAGGAACCACAGAATCAGAGCTTCCTGTATGGCAGCATGTGGGTAAGGAAGAAAAAAACACAGTATAAGACTTTTCATTTCTACGAAATAATTTCTTTCAGAGAGTTATGTCACTAGCTGTTTCTATGCCAGTATACTAAGTGACATCATTTTTTTTAAACAACAGGAGTAAATCCTTCTTTTCCTCTTAAATTCCATCTGTTTGTTATCCATCTTCCAAATTCAAAGTCAGTTTAAAAGAAAAAGGAAAGAAGAAAGGGTCAACCATGGGTAATAAGAGTACAACCAATTCTAGGTACAAGCGCTGGATCAATGGTGTATTTATGAATAAGTTAGAGGGTTTGTTTATTAATAGACTGGGATGCTATCTCATAGTTTGGCCTACTTAAAAAAAAGAATTTCAAATGTTACAATATCTACCAAATCTAATTTTTACTTGTCACTATTCAATTATAATGTGAGAACTCTAAGCTAATTTTCTTAAATAAGCCATCACATCAAACATGTTCAAGAAACCTTTCTTTTTCCTCTACTATTATTTGAAACATAAATATTCAAACTTCATATGTATGGCATAGTGTTATTCTTTTACTTTTTCACAGTGTTACTCTATTTAGTCTTAGGGGGGTCTACATAAGTGTGTGTCTGTCTGTAGTACAATGAATACAAACAAGTAAGCATATTTCATAAAATATGTATCATATAGTACCTTTAAATTTTCCTGAAACCTCAGCTGTCAAATAAATTATTCACTTACACAATTATATTTTTAAGAAAACTGTTTTGAGACTTAGGAAAATATTCTTCCCTAAAATAGCCTGCTGAAGAAAAGTGAGTAAAAATTACGATAAAGGAGAAAAAGATTTGCTTTATTTTAGTCAATCTGAGCTAGAAGTATCATACTGCATCAATTAAATTACCAGGGAGAAACAGAAGTTTAACAAAAATATATCGAAACCACTAAGAATACTGACACAAGTAAACCTTGCACATGCATAGCTGGTGAACTATTTCTATGTGTGGTCAAGAGACCGTAATTTAACAAAGGAAGACTACTAGGAGATTGACAAAATATAAAAGTCCAGTAAACATCGTGTTACAAGGCAAGTTTGTAAATCTTTGATAATCTTAAAAGTAAGAAACCATAACATTTTAGACACCAACAGCACACTCCCCACTGACCGTGCCATTGCATCTCAAATGTTTGGATATTACTTTTAAGTTCTTGACAGTGAATCACAGAGCTCAAACTGCATTCATGAGACAGAGCATCAGGCAAACGTGAGAGGGAAGAAGATGCCACATGCATAGCACATCGTAAGGGAGCATTGCCCAACTACACCAACACAGAGAACCTCAAAATTCACTTGTTCACAAATGTCACCAAAATTTATTTACTTTTAATTTACTTCTAAGTCAACAGAGCAGTACTATCAATACTCCAAAACCGCCATCCCAATAATAATAAACAACTCTGCTTTTTTATTGGGAACATTTTCCAGAACCAAAAAGCAGAGGTCTTTAGAAAGTTAGCCAATGATATGTTGGTGTAATCTAGATTATGCAATTTGTAGGAAGTAGTAAGGCTTACATGAAATGCCTCATTTCTTACTGTCACCCAGTGGGGAAAAAAGTGTGTGTTTAATAGCATCTCAATTTTTTAATTAAAAAAGAAAAAAGAAACTTCAGAGGTGCAAAGGACACGCAAAGACCCATTACCACAGAGGTAGACCCATGAGCTGTAAGAAAAGCCTGATGACCCTAGGGAAAGAATGGAAATGGGTTATGTCGTTGGTCACGATGACAGCCAAACCGAAGAGGCTCAGTGCCCAGCACCACAGACCATCAGGAAAGGTGGAGGGTGGGAACAATTCCATGAAAATGCATGAATTGTTAGCTTGGTGGTTTACCTTGTTCAAAAAATTGTGATCGCCTTTTTAAGTTTTTCAAAGAAATAGGTTCAGATGCTAGTTGAAAAATACAAAAAAAAAAAATCAATAAGATGTCATTCACTTTAATTTCTCACCACTGGAAAACTAAATGATACTTGCTATATATATATTTCTCATCTATAGCAATATTATTTTTTAATAATAAAAATGACAAAACTGATAGCCACAGAAGATATGTATTATTTCAATGCACAGAGACATACATATTTTTAGTAGTCTATGCTATATTCAAATTAGTAAAAGGAACTAATATTTTGATTAATAAATTTTAGCAGATAAGCAGTCTAATTTCACAAAAGTCAAAACAGCTTTAGGAAAGTAGAAATTAAATATTTTTGCTTAGGTCAGTAAAAAATCTCTTCTAGTACAAGGAAAATTGTTTGTAACTAAGAGTCTTCACAATACAGGTGAGTAAAATAGAAACTCAAGAATAATGGGGAAGAGGACAAGAAAATAAATAATAACCAGAGAAAGAGAAAATAAAAGCAAGTGCTAAACCTAAATCATTCTTCTAACTAGAATACTTTGCCCTCATTTTCAAGATCTTTCAGCCTCCAACTTTAAGTAAAACAAATGGAGTCCTGTCAAATAGAAAGAAAAAGAAAAAATTCTGACTTCTCCTATGGGTCTCTCGTGAGATTATGGCAAATGATTATCATACTTCAATATATTCATAAAATATAAATGCAGTTATTACTTGATACTCATTGTTGTTTACTTATCTAAAGAAAAAACTGAAATGACAGACCTGTGTAGTGCCACAGTCACTAAGGAGTTAAGTGTCTTATCAGTTTGCTTTGCCTGAGTCACTGGCAGAACAGGACCCGGATGTCTTATATTTAAGATCATGAAGAAAAATAAGCCATGCTTTAAAAACTCCTTTGATAAAGAATGCAGTATCAAACAAAACATAGTCACTTCTGATGGTCAGAAACTAAGTATAAAGAGAGGGAAATTTATAAACTTAGTTTGGCTTTGACATTGGACTATGAACTGGCAAATGCAGATTCAAAGCCACCAGCCTGCTGAGAAAACCCAGGCCGATTCCTAGCAGTCTAGTTTCATGTTAAAAGAAATTGCATCTTCTGTGGGTCGCTTTCCCAGCCTATTTCTTTTGTATGCCTATGGAAACATGTGGTAGCTAAATTATTTATAAGCCAACAGAAGGAGGAAGTGAATGATAACTCCATAAAGCAAAATTATCCTCGATACTATGCCTGCTTTTTTATTACAAATGGGTAGTTTTGCTAACAACTGTTATTGCCCTTGGCATTTCCCTATTAATACTAGCCGCCTCCAAGCTTGTCCCTTTCACAACACTAAAGGGAGAAAGGAAACCTCATTCATTATTTTGTATTTAACCAAGATTCCCTTTGGCAGCATCCCATAGCAAGAAGGCTGATGGCCTGGGCAAAACCAGTCTTTCTTCATTGGCTCAGGCACACAGGCACTCAAAGCTCCTGGACATGCTGCCAAAGCTTTGTTTGCCGTGCCTGCACCATTCTACACAGGAGCCCAGAGAGAGCCCTTCCACATGGCTGCAATCCGATCTGGGTGCTAACCTTTTAGTTTCAACTTGCAGTGGATCAGTTTTTCTTTCACTCACAGGTATTAATGTTTATATTAACAGAACTGCGGTGCTATGACTTTTCTTACACTATAAATGTAAGTTATAATGGTGATGTTTACCTTTTAATTCAAAAGTACTGCTTTCATCACGAATCCCATTGATTTCCTTGGACTCGGTATTCTGGAAGGAATACAAATGCCAGTTAACAACATTCTCTCCAACTGGACTTTGGGCTTAAATAATGCATTTGCTGTTAATGCAAATATCTTTTAGTCAAATGAATTGTTGAGGATATTAATGTATTCTTTACACCCTTTTACATATACAGTGGGGCCTTGACTTACGAGTTTAATTCGTTCCTAGACCGAGCTCCTTAAGGAGCTCGTTAACTCAAATTACTCTATCAACTCAATGCAAAAACTCGGAGGAGAGACAGCTGGTATCTCAAAAAACTCGTTAGTCGGGACACTCGTAAGTCAAGGCTCCACTGTAATAGTTACTTTTTTTTTACTCTTTAAAATTTGTGGAAGGATTAATGACCAGCTGCAAGCATGGATGCCTTTAAGTTCAATCAGTCATTAATTTTCTAAGAAACAAATAATGATTAGTCCATTTGGCTTGTATTTATGAGTAAGCAACATAGTTATATAGGATTCTCTAACATTTATACTTGTCTTACACAATGTAGCAGGACCTCCTTATTAGATAAAAGAGGGTATCATAGGATAACAATAATATATCTAGGGAGTCAATATACACATTTATTTGAAAGTTTAAATCTAAGTATTCCTCTGATACTTAGAAAACTTTCTACATTATAAATAATCAATTAATGTAACAGGGTATCTTTTAACCACATACATAAATCTACCCACCAAATTCACCTACTCAAGATTAAAAATGCTTCATGGGGTTTTAAATTGCACACAATTACTATACTTATTTTACCAGTAAAGACCAAAGAAAGCATAGAAAAGCCATAGTATATAATTTTACATAATTAATACTTCACATTCACAAAGATCTGAGAAATGGGTATAATGATGAAAGATTGGTAAGAAACACCTGCAAAACACCAGTATGGGATCTTTTGATTTTACCATTATATAACTCATTATTACTCTAATTATCAATGAGTAATGCTCATGATGTTTAAAAATACATTTTACTCTCATTACTATAAATGATCTTATTTAATTATGTGGTTTTTAAAGTAGCATCAGAATTGTTCAGACAAAATAAATTCTTCTCCCCCAACACACATTTCCTACAGTTGCTTTGCTCTAAACAAATATTCCTCCTCAAAATACTTACAGAATTCTGAAGGCTTTCTGAGAAATCAGTCATTATTGATAGACTTGAAGATCTGTCTGAGTTGTAAATTCCAGAAGTTGCATCAATCCACTTTGTTTCAGGTGAACCTATAATTTTGGTAGCCATACTGGTGAGATTGAGGGTTTTATGCCGTATAAATGGCAGGGAAGGCTGGTCTTTGCCCCAATCTGATTGGCACGTGAAGATCAAGAAATGAGTACACATAAATGTTGAAGTGGAAAGAACAAAGTTACTGAATGCACACATACAATATGCACATACACAAGAAAGACAAACAAATCAGGCAGTGTGTAAAAGAAATGAAAAGTTTAAGGATTGTTACCAAGAGACCACCTTCCGAAAACACAAGGGTTAGATCATGTTAATAATGGAAAAGACTAGCAAATTTGCTGAATCTTTCTGTAAACCAGGATTGGAAATTAGTTTTTTTATATCAACAGATGGTAGGTCTGTGGTGGTTGAATGTCCATTCCCATCTAACTTCTGTAACTAAGAAACACAGTAATGAAGTGTAGTTTGAAAGTTTCTTGAGAATGAAAGGCCATCCCCATTTCACTCTATAAATAAGAAATGTAATAATGGAATGTATTTTGAAGGTTTCCTGAGAATGAACAACAGCAATATGGCCTACCATGTTCTCTCTTACACCGGTTACAGTTTTGGTGCTGTAGAGAAAGTCGAGTTGTAGTCTAATTCTTAATACTCAACATACTCCCCAATGCAGATACAATTACAATAGCCTTCAAAAAACATGAGAGAGATATTTGAACGAATTTTTAAAAAACAATAATCTTCAGTTGATACATGCATTCAAAGTCAGCCAAGCATATAAGTCAGTCACTAAATAATGTAGAATTCAGTAAATTTGCTAGTGAAAAGTTTTCAGACGGACTATTCAAGGAAGTATTACTCATGATTCGTCTTGACATAACCAAAAAAAATCTTTAAGCAAAAAATTCAAAAAACTAAAAGAAAAAATTGTTATTGAAGCAAGTTGTTATAACCCCTTGCCAAAGACCAGTTCCCAATTTAAAAAGCCAGACACGATGATAAACCAACTCACCAGACTTTCCATACCGCCTAATATCCATTACTAGGTTTCCAGTTTCTTGAGCATGAGCCATGGCTTCTTCCCACTCTTTTGTGTCCTTATATGAAAACTTGGTATTGTTGATGGCAATAATTTCATCATCTACCTGTAGCTGAGAAAATTCTGCTGGGCTACCTAAATAGAGCAAAATAAACAACCAATTTAAAAATAAACAGGTCCTACAGTCATTGATTATTTAAATTAAAGAATAAATGACTTTTTAACCTCAACTAACCATTTCTCATAATTTTTTAGGTGAAAAGGAGTCACAAAATTTCTTAGTTATCAAACATTTGAGTATCAACAATACACAAAGCACCAGAGGCATATTTTATTATATAGTATATGTCATCTTCATTAACATTTAAAGGACAAATGATAAGTGCATCTGTTCAAAAAAAAATTTTATTAACCTCCTAAGAAAAGAGAAAATGTTTATTTTAAATGTGTAATAAACTGCATTTCAGTTGAGCTTCCAAATCCATATGTATTTTGGAACAGAAGAAAAGAGGGCCACTTAAAACTGATTAAAATTACTACTTACCATTATCTCATTGGAGAAGTCTAGAACTTTCAAAGGAAAAGCAATTTAGCATGCAATTTTATGTAGTTAAAATATGCAAATGAGGAACTCCTCTTAAATACCATAGTTTCCTTTTTATTTTTAGGCCCTGTGGTAAGAGTTCAGGGCTTGACTTGGCATAGTCCTGGGTGGGGGTGGGGCAATCCTTTTGTAAAAGTCCCAGAGCATCCTGAGGTCTCCATAGGCCCTAGTTGTATTAGGACTCTCAGAAAACACCATTTAATTATATAGCACAGAGAGATCTACCACATACACAGATGATTGGGTTCTATTAGCATTTTCAAATATTAAGCCTAACATTTTGACAAATAAATTCTGTAAAAGTCACAAAAATAAGACTCTTCAAAACTATAATTAGTTAGGTAAGGAGAACAAACAACATGTAGTTTGTAACTCAACTATCAGTCTCAGGGAAGAGGATGTATCTTCTCACTTTACTGCTGCATTTTCCACATGTGTGCTCTCCTGTATCAAATAAACCAATGTCTGGGGGTTGCGGGGACAACATAGGGTAGCAAAGGAGAAGAAATTTCAGTAAAGCAAAATCTATAAATTACCTGCTTCCACTGATGCTATGAAGATCCCGGAAATATCCCATTTTACTGTAAACCCAAAGTCAAGGCCGTTTCCAGGCGTCTGGTTTATGCTGATTCTCATATCACTGAACTGATCCTGAAAACAAACATGAAACGGTGTGATCAGGTGTCCCTGGCACCCACGTGGAGGAAAGTCTATCCATGAAAGAAGGGAGGCTGCAGGCAAGGGACACTTCAATTATTTCATGATCAACTGGGAGCTTCATTCTTTTTCCTGGGTTTAGAAAAACCTTCATTTATATAAATATTACCAAGTTTATTATTTTTCTTCTAAATTAGGGGAAATTTATATCAACAGATGTTTTTCTTCACATTAATATAATAAATCAGTTGGCCATTGGTAAAGCTTATGCTTTTGCTCACCATATAATTGGGTCTAATGTAAAGACTATTTGTTTATACCCAGGAATGCAGTTGAGTGAGAAAATGTGTGTGTGTGTGTGTGTGTGTGTGTGTGTGTGTGTGTGTGTGTAATGGAATATTCTTAAGTCCTGAGAAAAGGAACATTCTGCCATTTGCAACAACATGGATGAATGAACCTGAGTGTACGGTGCTAAGTGAGATAAGTCATGCAGAGAAAGACAAGTACTGTATGATACCATGTATGTGTGAAATATAAAAACGCCCAACTTGTAAAAATAGAAAATGGTGTTTATCAGGAGATGGGTTGGGAAGGATAGGACAGATGTCGTTAAGGGTATGCACTTACACAAAGTCGTTAATAAGCCCTAGGGATATAATGCACAGTAAAGTGAGCATAGACAACATATTGTATTAAAATCATCACACCTGTTAGAGAATAGAACTTAATGATTCTAACCTCTAAAGAGAAAGAGTAATTATGTAATGTGATAGAGGTGCTAATTAACACTACATTTATACAGATATAAATGTATCAAATTAACATGTTGTACACATTAAATTTACAGTGTTATGTCAAATTCAATAAAATGTCAGTTTTGAAAATGCAAACAAATATGTAAATAATTTATTTTGAAAATGTCATTATGCTTATAAAAAAAAAACTTCCAACACTGAATTTAGCTGAATCATTTCAAGGGGTTCACAGACACATCATTCAGCGACCAGCAGCATGCTTATCTAGGACAGGTACCACCCCTAAAGAGCATTTGAAATTTGGCAGGGCATTTCTGCTTGCCCCACTGCCACATGAAGACAGAGCTGCTAGACAGCTGCAAGATGCTGAACTATGTGATCTCTGAGGAACCAGCAGTAAGATGCCAAAACACCCCCTATTGAGACACCCTAAGCTGTAGGCCACCACTTCCTTGAAGTGACATTAGCTCAATAGCCACTTCGACAATAGACAGAATTTTATTTCTGTGTCCATCATTATACTACACAGCAACAAATTCTAAGTTGCACAGACTTTCTTAAAGCCATCTTCTAAAACAAACATTTTAAGTTTTACAGTATCCTATGCCTGTGGAAATTTAACTATACTTCATCATTTGCATGCTTTGTTTTGGGTACACAGCAGACATGAAGTTTAGCATAATGAGTTTTCCAGACTAGTGTTTTAGTTCTTTGATTCATAATCATAAAGAACTTAGACTTAAGAGTTTAAGATATATAGATAGATATATATTCTTAAAGCCACTGTATTTTTCAGAAAAATACCTACAACTTCTCCATTATAATTTGGCAGTTAAACTGAAACTTAGGCCCTACTGAGCAATTCCTAAAGCCTTATGTTTAATTTTTTAACCTCTAAAACAGGTTTAAAATCCAAGTGACAATATCTGAGAAAAAATTTCTCATTATCTAAGAATTAGAAGGAAGACAGTAAATAAAGGATTGAGAGCAAATTATGTAATATGGGCACAAAAGTTAGGTGCTATAACAATACTCACTTATTCATTTGCTCAACATTCATTATTGTACATCTTATTCTGTATATGACACAGTGCTTAGCATGCTGGGAAATACAGATGGATTAGGCATGGCTCTTGCTCTTGAGAAATAATTACTGACTCTTCAACAGTGGGTACGGGATTTTTTAAGAAAAAGTTTGTCACCAATAACATAAAAAGATTTCATCAGAAAGCTTGTAAAGCAGTTCAAATATGGGAACTCTGATGCAGCTAGTGAGAACACTCATTAATAATCAGCCTAAACACCAATCCCCAGAATAAAACTCTGCTATGAATAGACAAAATTACTGGTTAGTTCTACTCCTTAACTAAAACCACCATACACTTAGAGATGACTCAACAAAAATAATTGGTCATCTTCACCATTCTTACCCTCCCAAATTCCAACTTAAACCCAATTAAAATGCAGACTCTATTGCTATATAAGGGCAGAGAGGCAAATGATAGGTTAGATATTCAAGGCACTAACTGAGGTTTTTATCATGAAGAATAAAAGACAGGATGGAGACTTAATAAATAGTCTCAAACTACATAAAGAACACTTTGTGGGAGACAGCAAGTGAATATTATCATTTTCTGGCAAATATAGGATAAAAGTGAACAAGTTTAAGCCACAGACCGAAGTCTCCCAATTATATTAGACTAGAAGAATTATCTCACAAAGGGCTGCTCTTACCTTGGAAATAAATCTCTACTTGAACATATTCAACAAAAGGGCAGATAACCACCTCCCTGGAAGTTAACAGAGGACAGCCCCACTGTGGCTACAGCCTGACAGACTGTTGTGTGTGGATCCTTGGGACTGTACACAGGCAAAGAAGAAGAACGAACCACCTGGACAACTACAGTCCATTCTGTCAATAACCAGGTGACCTCAGGCATGTCACTGCGCCTGACAGAACCTTCTCTCTCACAAATACATTGACTTTCAAGTTTTTGTTTTTTAAAACCCTATTTTCAAGTGAAATCCTGATGCATAGCATGTCCCTCCGAAAGCAATATATAGAAAGGATTAAGGTGGGTGGCTATAGTTTCAGGTTAGGGGCCTCAGAGCCCTACCTGCATGGCCTCCTCATGGCAATCCCTCAAGCAGCTCTGTGGGGGTCAAGGTTATTAAATTAGGTTATCCCTGAGACTTCTTACAGGGCAATAAAGCTATAATTATAGTCAAGCATAAACTATTCAGCAATGATTTCACTTAGAATTTCTACTTCCATGTTTTTCTCTGCATGATGCATGTCACATGAGTATTCTACAAAGGATCCATGCTTCAGAAGATAATGGAGAATTACCTTGTGAACTGGATGGAACTATGAATATAAATTATGGGGGGAAATCTAAATTCTTGATGGCTGACAAACTACTATCCCAAGTAGTTTAAGTACTCTATGCCAAGAACGGTAAAATATAGTTACTAACATATCAGCACTTAAAAATGAAAATAATTTCCTTCAAATCAGGTATAATTTGAACAGAAATATATACTGAAAACTGTGATTTTTAAACAAAAACATGATGATCTGGAGTAGTAATAATAATATTTATTTTTATGAGATCTAGTGAACTAAGATTCTCATATATCACCACAGATGGGAATTAATGAAAAACAGGGTCAATCTTACAAAATAACGAGAGTTATTCTCCCCAACTTTTCCAATTAGATAAATGTTTACTTAAGGGAAGCCTACTTAAGTTGATAAAATTAAACACTAAAAGTAGATTCAGACTATAAAGTGAGAAATGCCAGAGGACATCAATAATCTTGGGTTTCTGTACACATGGCATTTGCGTGTCTTTTTTTTCCAGGGTCTAAGGTGAGCCTTCAAATCATGGCTCTGATCCGGCACTGGACTAGCCTCCTTCACCAACGAGACTGTATACCTCCTTCCTCCACTTCCCCATTCCAAAGACTCAGGGCATTTCCAGCTCTGCCACTTACTCAACCCTTTCCAAGCTTATCTCCTACACGCCCCACACTGGGGATCAAGCCCACAACCTGAGCATGTGCCCTGACTGGGAATCAAACCCTGACTCCTGGTTCATGGTTCAATGCTCAACCTCTGAGCCACACTGCTGGACACCAACAACTATTTTTGCTTCTAGGAAATAGTCTTCCAAGTCATCCATTATTTCACTTTCTCTTGCCTTTCTCCTCCATCTCTCTGGACACATCAGTTTCATTAGTGTTGTTGTTCTTTCCATTTTCATTTTGTTGTTCCCTCCGTAGTCCCCCATCTTTGTGACTACAGGCTTTCCAGAGAAACCGCCTTCACTGCTGTATCTTCAGCAACTAACTAAACCCAACATATCTAAAACTGCATTCATTATCTTCCTCCCCTCACCTGCTCCTCCACCTCTTGTTTTTTATATATTGGTTAATTACATCACTATCCAACCAGATGCCTATGTTAGAAACACCAGCTTCTTTCTGGGGCTCTTCCCCTTTTCTTCTCCTAACTGCCCCCCGTCCCAACTCCACACAATGATCCTCACCTGCACTGTCCACCACACACACATGCATTTAATAGTGTGGTCAAGTCCACAATCCATAATTCCACCTGGAGCCACCCCGTCCTTCCGTCTTCCTTCAGGTTATCGTCTTAGTTTGGTGTCCCCTCTACACTACTGTGGTCGCCTCCCAATAGGCCTCCAGTTTACTTTTCCCCATCTTCCACACAGCTGCCAGAACTTGAGTAAAGAACATGGCAATCATTATATTACACCTTATTTAAATGCGCATAGCTCCTTACTGTCTACTGCAGTGATGGCGAACCTTTTGAGCTTGGCGTGTCAGCATTTTGAAAAACCCTAACTTAACTCTGGTGCCGTGTCACATATAGAAATTTTTTGATATTTGCAACCATAGTAAAACAAAGACTTATATTTTTGATATTTATTTTATATATTTAAATGCCATTTAACAAAGAAAAATCAACCAAAAAAATGAGTTTGCGTGTCACCTCTGACACGCGTGTCCTAGGTTCGCCATCACTGGACTCTACTGGGTAGATTTTAAACCCTACAATTCAGAAATAATTCAGCTCTGATACATATATACCTTTCTCAAAACAATCTTAAGAACTATTTTATCTTTATAAACCAGAAGGTATTTCCGTCCCTGTGGGCTCCAAAATTGTAAAGACAGGGCAAAGTTAAAATAAGTGAACATTTGGTGTTTTTCCTTAAGGCAGTTCTCAAATTTGAGCCTGTCATATTTCATAAACATTAAGGTCAGGGAAATCATAATTGTGGTCTGATCATTTAGCTGGCCTGGAGCATGAATATAACTTTCAAATCTCAAGAATTTCACTGGTAATAATGTGGATGATACCACCTACTTTGCAAGGTTATTGAGAGGAACAAATGAAACATTTAAAAGGTGCCAAGGCAGGTGGTTGATGCCTAGTAATTACCTTCTTTTTCCCATGGAAACAATGTTATCCATTACATATATGCTGGTTAAGCAATTAGAGAAAATCCTATTTAACATTCACAAACATAGCTATGAAGCCAACAGCACTCAATCAGCAATCAGCAAATACAGATCCAGGCACTGTGGTAATAGCGAGCAAGACCGGCTTGTTTCCTGCCTTCACACAAAGTCAGCTCTAGTGAAGGTGACAAGCAAATAAAATGCATGGTAGAAGCTGTGATAAGAGAAGCCCTGGGTGTTATTAAAAGGGGCATTTAATAGGCTCGGGGGTAAGGAAATGGACATGTAAAAAGCTTCCTTCCTGCCGAAACTGGTTTGGCTCAGTGGATAGAGCGTCGGCTTGCGGACTGAAAGGTCCTAGGTTCGATTCCGGTCAAGGGCATGTACCTGGGTTGCGGGCACATCCCCAGTGGGGAGTGTGCAGGAGGCAGCTGATTGATGTTTCTCTCATCGATGTTTCTAACTCTCTATCTCTCTCCCTTCCTCTCTGTAAAATCAATAAAAAAAAAAATATTTAAAAAAAAAAAAAAAAAAAGCTTCCTTCCTGCCCTAACTGGTTTGGCTCAGTGGACAGAGCGTCGGCCTGCAGACTCAAAGGTCCTGGGTTCGATTTTGGTCAAGGGCATGTACCTTGGTTGCAGGCACATCCCCAGTAGGGGGTGTGCAGGAGGCAGCTGATTGATGTTTCTCTCTCATCAACATTTCTAACTCTCTATCTCTCTCCCTTCCTCTCTGCAAAAAATCAATAATTTTTTTTTTTTAAATCTCCTTTCATTCCATACCTATCATCCTACATCTGGGTACTGTTTTAAAAAAAAAAAAAAAATCTGGGGAACAGATTCCAAAATGTGGGCTTGGATGGGATTTGAGAATTCAGGGCTCTGACTGGACAAAATAACGTGAAAACGTGTAGGTAACACCAATTTGGGGGGGAAAATGAAAGCCACATCTGTGGGAGGTTTGAAGAGGATGAAGGACTCTCTCCCCTTGCTCAGGGTCACCCCCAGAATTGTCCCAGCAGCCTGGACTGGCAATGGAAGCAGGCGACGGAGCAACACAAAAAGAGAAATAGGGAGAAAAGGAACAGAGAGGACTAAAACCCCAGAGCTCAGCCAAGGAGAAAGGAAAGAAACCCCTGTAGGCAGGAAATGAGGTCATATTAATTTCTTCCCTTCATTATGCCTTTCCTTTTTTATGGCATAAACCCACAATTCTGTGATAGGTTCCTAACCAGTTTCTGCCCCAGACTTCATTTCCTTAAAATAGTTCTATGCAATATCACAGTGCTTATGTTCCTAAAACACCCATTAATCTTAAAATTTCCACATTAAAGATCCTATAAGGACCTAAGTTACCTGCTGGATCAAGTTTATACTTCAGTCTAGTAATCGGGGCCATAAATGCAAATCAAGTCAATAAACACTTCCAACTCTGTGCAAAGGCTGTGGAGGGTATAAAGAATACCAGTGACGAGACACAGTGAACGCATGGAACAGGAAGAATTCAGCAGATGAAGCTTTCAAGGGTGGAAAATTCAATTCCAACTTGGGGAAGAAGATATTTGTATTCACAAAGGAAATGACCCTCCTGGGCTGAAAAGAACAGGAGGACTTCTTTAAAAGACAGAAATGGGTGAAATAAACAATTTCAAATGAGGTGACGACAAAAACAAATATTTGATGTGTTCAAGAAAAAGGAAGCAGTCTCATTTGGTTAGGTCACCTACTTCCTTTCTCTTTCCCACAACATAGTGTGGTGTAGGTAGGTAGCTTGAGTCAGACTGCCTGGGTTCAAATCCTGACGCCACCACTCAGTACCTTGCACGGCCTTGGGCAAGTACTATGCTCACTCCGTGCCTCAATTTCCACAACTATAAAGGAGTGATCCCAAGGTCACTGAGGACTAACTAAGATAATGCCCTGAGACACCTGGGGTTGGCACATGGTAATCCCTCAATAAACAGCTGCTAACTGCAGTACTAAAGGAGTTTGAGATCAGTGACGAGGGACCTCAATACTCCCCTGAATGCCCCAAACTCACTGCACAGATCACTGAGGCTTTGCAGCTGAGAGATTAGTCCAACCTGGCACCACACAGGTGCCTCCGATGCCAGCTTCTGTGGAATGCACAAACACACATGACTATTTACAAAGCATCTGCATTAATGGGGACAAGCCTGAACTTCCACTGAAGCAGGGAGAGAAAAATATTACATCAAGGAAGATTTTGGAGGAAGAAAGAAAAGAACATTACTAGCAAAAGTGCAAGTAAAGAACGAGAATGAAGGCCCGAAGAACAGTTATAAAACTACCAAGATATCAAGTTCAGCCACACACTATGCTTTTATTTTTCCATTCTCTGAACTTCTGGAATTATAGTTTGGCCAAGAGTTTGGAGGAGTGTTCCATATGCCTTGACATATTAATGACCAACTGTTTTAGGCTTTCACAGTGTTTTCCCCAAGGCAGTGAGCCCCTTTTCAGTGACAAGGGCGGGGGGATGCTACATAAGCTACTTTCCTCAGAGCGCAGAAGTGACACACCAGGCATCTTGGTGATGGGCAAGTGGCCATATGACACATACCTATGTTCAAGAATTCTAATGGTCCCACTTGTTAAATGAAGCCTAATTTTGCTTGGGAGAAGATCATTTCAAGTTTGGTGACAAAGAAGCCTAAACCCATTAAGGGTGAAACCTGACACCATGCCATGTTAATTCAGGTTCCTCTGACTTGCACTAACCTGGACACACCCACTCACCACACTTAGCCTCTTTTTCTTAATCCGTGGATGCAGCTAGTCAACTGTCACCCTGAGGGAGTTGGGTGCACCTAGCGCCAACACACTAATCAGGCTGCTTGTTTGGATTTGCTGTTTGAAAGGGGGAGGCTTACATGCAAGTCCATAAAACAAAAGATACCTGGCTGCTGTTTCTATTATTCATCCACTAGTACCTTATGTTCCCCAAGTATAACATAGGCTATTGTTCTCATCTGAAACTCATAATGCTAATTAATATTTCCAATTCTTTAAAAATGAAGTTAAACACCTGAAACTGATACAAAATTTCATTAAATGTAAACTGTAATTGAAAAATAAAATTTTAAAAAGTAATAGAAAATAAAAATAAAAAGTTATAAAAGTAACTTACAAGTAATGATTTTGGCAAGCTGCAAAAATTTCTTTTAGATATAGGTTTGTAAATATGCATGGGAAAAGCTGAAAGAAATATACCTAAATACTAGCAAAGGTTACCCATTAATGATGGAATTACTTTCCTGCATTTCCAAATTTATGCAACTACATAGTACTTTATAACCAGAAGAAAAAGCTTAAAGCTGTAAAACTTTATAGAACTAATAAAAATCCAATATACCAAGTAAATATGCTATTTCGAATTATTTCACATGAAGTCACTTCATGAATATAACTTAGGCCAAGTTGTATACTTCATGTTGTACCTTGGAAGACAAATAGGAAGGAACCAGAGAAATCTACACTAAGCTAAAGAACCACAAAAGCTCCTCCATGCAAAGAGATTAATATATTAAAGAGCTTCCAAAGGGTTTTTTTTCTAAAAGAGAAAAGCTTGATCCAGACAACCAACAGCTATATAGCCTGCATGTAAAACATACTAAAAGAACAGTCATTATTTAATAATTCTGTTGTCATCTTTGGGGATTTGAAGAAGGAAAAACTACAAATACCTTCTGTCATTCTTCACCTGATGGTATATTTGTTTGGATTCCAAATGTTAAGGAACACAATTGTCATACTATAACTAAACCTCAATATTACCATTAGAAGACAGTGAGTGGTTCAAAATTCTAGACTTTCTAAAGTATAAATGAGCATTGAAAGTCACTAGAAGGTTAATATGATAGAGGAAGAAATGCCATGTCCCTAGAGGCCCGTACCTCTCGTGTGCACCAATTTCTCCTTGAGGTCAGTTAATGTCCCTGAAAAGGGGCCTTTATTATCCATTTATCTCTTAGACCTGCATCTAAAGCTTCCTGAGTGAGTCCTGCACCTGAATCCAGGACTGCTGTGCAGCGTAAAGGCAGCAGCTGCTGAAATGGGCGGTAGAACTAACACCCAGATAAACCCCAAGGAGACTGGCCAATGGTCTCAATACACCCAAGTCACAGGGTCATCTGAATCCATAAACTCAGAGTTGAAAGAGACCTACTTCCTCCCAGATCTGCTCAAAATAAATGCAATCTCACATTCCACATTATCAGCCCACGTAACCGATTACAACGCCTAGAAACATGGGCTAGAGGTATGGGTTCCAGTTTAAATACTTGTGTTTCTGAGCCTGGATGATTAAACGCCTTCCCAAACTCACCTTTGATCGTGACACCTCTGTCTGTGGTGAGCTTCTCCCTTCTCCAACTTCAGACATTGAATTGGGGCCAGATGCTGAAGACCAGGTAGCATTAGAAGTGGCAGCCCAGTCCTGGGAGAGAGATGAGAAGGGGGGTGTAGGAGAGGGCAACCTCATCACACCCTCTCCTGATGTCACTGCCTCTTTTTCACCAAAGTCACTGGAAGCCAGCTGGCTTGGGTCAGATTTTTGCACAGAGGTGCTGACCGAACTGTACTGAGTTCTCTTAACGCCTTCTACATCTCCATTATACTTCCAAACGTCATCCATCTAAATAGGAAACATCATTTTAAACTTGGTATTGTTAGATTTCTGTTTTGAAATGTGTACAGTAATATTTTAGTAAAAATTACTAAAAGCTCGGAGCACATTCTTTCATACCAGCGTAGGAGGAGGAGGGGGTGTTTTTATAAGTGTTTATATTATAAACAGACCTCTGAAACTTGCTTTGCTCATTTACATTAGTCCAGGTCAGTAGATAGAACTCTACTCTTATTAACTGTTGAATACTCTATAGTATGGGTCTCTACAATTTATTTATGTGACATGCATTCAGTGCTGTTCAAAGTTTTCTGTAACTTCCAAAAACATTGCAACAGATACCCATATATCTTTATAATCAGAATATTTTTATAGCACGGATTTCCAAAAGTGGACTTGCTAGACCAACGGATATTTATATATAAATATAAATTATATATAATATCTTTTAAAAATTATAGCAAAGCACACCCAAAGCAATGTATAAAAACGTCTGTTTCACCTGGCCAGTATGATTCAGTGGTTTAGCATCAACCCATGCACCAGGAGTTCACTGGTTCGATTCCCAGTCAGGACACATGCCTGGGGTTTGGACTTGATCCCCAGGGGTGGTGTGCAGGAAGTAGCAGATTGATGTTTCTCTCTCATCAATGTTTCTAACCCTCCCTTCTCCCTCTCCCACCCTTTCCCTCTAAAAATCAATAAGAATATATTTTTTGAAAAAGAATGTTTGTTTTTCTGTATCCTTGACAACACTAGACATTCTGAATCTGATGGATGAAAAGTTGTACCCCTCATGCTTGTTCTAATGAGGTTGAACATGTACCTGGGTCCTTTATGTTATCAGCCATTTAAATCCCCTCTCTCTTGAACTGACTATTCATTTCTATACCCATTTTCCTACTGGTTTATCTTTTCCCTACCAACCTGTAGGGCCATTTTAAACCTTAGGGATATTGACCCTATATTTATAATACATTCTACTAATATCTTTCCAAGTCTATAAATTATCTCTTGACTATGATAAAAATGTCTGTCACATAAATTTAATTTTTATGTTGTCAATTTAAGATAATGATCAGGAGTTCTTCCTGGCTATTTAGACAAGTTTTCCTCACTTCAATTTTTTTTTAAATCATGTTTTTTCTCTTTTAGATTTTAAGATTCCACGTTGGCAGAGAAAAAAGAAACTTGAATATTGATAGTAAGAAGTGTATTGCTTCCTTTTACATAAGGAAACTTAGTAAACCTACTTTCAAGTTTGTGATACTGCTTTATTCTCAGGGCAAATGATACCATGTTTTTAAAAATACTAATAGAAGTAAATATGCAATTTTTGAACATGAGATACATTTTAATAACTACACTCAAACATATCAAGTTCTAATGAAGTAGAAAATGGGGGAAAATAAACATTTGTACATAAGAACTGAAAATATTTAAGTCAAACCATATGAAACTGCTGTTTTGTAAGTCTAAAAGAACTGACAACTGGCAACTTCATATAGTTCAATCTAATACTTTACAAAAGCTATACCTGAGAAAATTTGATGTTAAAAAATAAATTCTCTGCCTTAGAATGTAGCTTATTCATTCTTCAAAATGTATCAGTTCTCTTTTCTTTTTTTTTTTTCATTGAATTTAAAACTTAATCAATTCTGCATCATTGCTATATTTTAAGCATTAAGTAGCATTAAATATCTATGGGATCTACATTGGCTAAAATAAAAATTGCATTATATATGTTATGTACATTTTACATATTAAATATACATAACTCAAACTTCTGCACAAGTACACCAACAGTTTGCTCATGAGAATAGAGTATATGAACTGAGAACACGTTTTTACCGTGTAGGATCTTGGGAGCGATGAGATTCCCCTTGAGTGAGAGCCAAAAGGTCTCGGTGTAACCACAGATGTCAACCTAGCTGTATCAGTTTTCTGGTAACTTCTGGGGAGAGAAGCTGAAACTCGAGTCGACTCCATTTGTGTAGTCAGTGAACGCTGGGAAGACAAAGAGGCTGGGCGTTGTTCTTCCGTGGGGCTTTTAGAGGGAAGCCGAATTTCAGCTGGTAGAGTGTCCTCTCTTTTCACAACAGTTGTAGAATCTTGTTTAGGAATTTCTGTAGGAAAAGTTGTTCCTTTCTCTTCTACTCTCTCACCCTGGTGACTTGCTTCTGACATAGTTAGTGTCAGGGGAAGCTTGTCTTCATTCAACACATCATCAGAAGAATATATTCTACTCCTCGATGTAATTGTAGACGTCTCGTTTCGGGATTCCCTTAGCAGAAACACACCATAGCCGCAAAGTTATGCATTTGGCATTCGAAGGTTGGGAGACAGATCTTATTTTGGTAATTAGCATACAAAATGAGCTGGGAATAATGTGCAATATAATACTAACTTCACACAATGTGCAATATAATACTAACAGAATATGAGGATAAATACATGCAGTTGTTTTATGCCACACTAAGAAATATTATAAGAGCTCGACTTTTCAGAGAGGCTCTCAAATATTTCACAGAGATTTTTTTTAAGTTGTAAAGATAAATAAGGAAATGAAAATTTAAATTGGAATTATTCGCCAAACTTATCCACAAGTTTATAACTCTTCCAAAATTGACACACTATACATATAACTGCCTGACAACCAATTTGAACCCTCCAAAGATGTAGATTCCTTGTCAGCCCTGTATTTCCTGTACATGATTTACAATAATTTAGTAAAAATAAAAGACTGCAAAAGACACAGACTTCCATTAAGTTCAAGTTATTACCTAGTTTCATCCAGTTTCATAGAATTTGCACAGACAGTTATTACAGATTAAAAGTCACCATTCATACGTATGGAGAAAATGATGAAACAGCCTCATCTCTAGCATTTAGTAAGGAGTGCCTCTGAAGCTGACAGTTGCATTTAAGTGAATGAAACTGTGTTTGCAGTTGGCTTCTGGGGCATAAAGGAGCTTTGTGTAATTTCACCTGACAGCACATTTCCTTTTTGACGTTATCCTTAAAGCATATTTGCCGTTTCCCTGAGCTGTACCTATCCCAAGGTTTCACAGAGTAACTTCTCTAACAGGAAATTTTAATCTGACCTTTATTCTGTTATGTTTCAATGCAAAATATAAACCCTCACAATTTCTTTTTATATAGTCTTCCTTTAAAATATAATGTTAATTGTACCACTGAAACATGAAAAATAACTGTTACATTTTATACAATTTAGTTGAGTGTGGGAGCTGGTTTTATTTGACCATTTCATTCCTAAATTCATTTTAAAAGGAGAAAAAATAGTTCCTTTTCTGTGCCAAATATAGCCACCACTACCCAATTCTGCATATGAATATTCAATGTAAAATGAAGAAAGAATGTACATCTATTTAGTACAAATTTCTTTTGTCAATCCAAGCCACTATTTATCATAGCAATACTTTGCTTTTTCATGGCTAAGCAAAATGCTGAACGTTTCATTGCATATTTGGTTACAGTTTAATCACCCTGCACATGCACAAAATGTCCATTTCTAACCCTGGTCTCTCTGACCAGGAGATCTATCCAGCCTATTACCTGTCCTGCAGCATTTCCTTAAACGTCTTAGAGCTTTTCTCAGATTTCTCCAGCGCCTGCTTTTCAATTTCTTCCCTCTCTTCTTTTTTCTTCTGCAAGTCTGAAGTGTAGCTTTTTCGACGATCTTTCCATTTTGCAAGGTCCTAACAGAAGAAAATCACATCAGCACAGGCATACCTGAATTGCTACACACCCTTTCTAGCAGAGCGAGCGTGCCAGCGGATCCCATTACATCGCTGAAACTATTCACTCCCACTTGATGCCAAGGTGCCCTAATTTTGCTTTTTATAGCCAGCGTTTCTGTACCAAGTCTGTATCTCATGTGTCTGCCTAAAAAACCTGACCTAATAAGATAGACCCCATTTTTGTTTTCCTGCCTCGTTGCCCATTTCACAAAGAATGCTAAATGCTTGTAATTAGGTGCCAGGTCAGAAAGAGCAGGAACTGTTTCAAGTTCATTTTCATCTCACTCCAAGAATCTGGCTGCTGTATGAAATGCCATGTCTTCACCAGTAAAACTGGAAAAGAAGATGACTATTAAATGGTTAAGCGTGGGTGCACACGGGGTCTTCCATTGAACGAGCCCTGAGCTCAGTCCCTGCTTGGAGGCAAAGGGTGAATAAACACAGATAAATCCGATGTGCTCCCCCCTCCCAGGAACTCTCAGCCTAGAAGGGGAAGACAGGCATGTAAATAAAAATTCAGCAATAAGTGCGATAGGATTGCTGAGAGTCAGGGTGCAAAGGAGAGCATGGCCTCCCTCAGGCAGGGGTTTCAAAAGGCTTTCCTGGGGAGGCCAGCCTCGAGTACTGACTTCTTCAGAGTGGAAAGACTTTACATAAGGACAGGGCAATAAGGAAGATCAAACAGAACAAGGGGACACCTGTTCCCATATTCCTAGGAAGGGAAGTCTCTCCCAGCCAGGTGAGCCCAGGACAATCAACCTAGTTCACCTTGACATTAGCCCTGGAAGTCTAAGCTGGTTCTGACACCCAGGGGTTCAAGGCATTTTCAATGGTACAACCTTTTCTATGTCTCCCAAACAGAGAAGTCCCATACTAAGACCTGCTAGTCATTCCAGCCCAAGTAAGAGCCTCTCCAAGTTCTCAGACTAAATGGAATCTCACCCCTAGGATGTGCAACGTTAAGTTTGGTTTAAACCCTCTGGGAGCACACCAAGCTACTCTGCTTTAAAAACAGCCTGAAACCTATATGAACTATTTGCAGAAAGAACAAAAGCAGTGTGCATTTCGTCCTATAGGATCACAAGCATGCATTTTTATCTCACCTAACTTAATTGATAACTCCTCAATACTTACTATTTTCACACCCAAACAGTTGCCCTGTATATTGGCAAAATGACATTGAATTCCTGTTTCCTGACAATTAAACTGAGTCCCCCAACTCAAAGAGGCACTGGAATTTTGAAATGTGGCCACAGCAGGGGGTTTCTCCTTCATGAATTAGACCTTAATTCCTTTGAAAAATTAAGATTTACTCTCTCTGGGCCTTTTGTTCATGCTACCACTCAACTCTATCACCATAAAGATGTCCTCAAACATCTTTGGGTTTGCTTTCTATAGCTTATCATACTTTTATACACTGCTTTGGTTTATAACAATTACCCCTTTCAAAATAGGCCAAGCTCCTTTCTGTAGGAACAAAACTATGACAGTTCTGTGAAAACACCTAACTTTGATTCAGATTATATGATTACATTTTCAACCAAACTATTTCTTCTTAAATCTCCTCTACTAACTCTAAGAACCAGTTCATCTCCCACGCTGATGCCCAGACTCTGCTGAGCCCCTGCCCCTCCGCTTCCCAGACCCTGAGCAAAGCTTCTTCCTTTCACAAGCATCAGATACAGTCCCACCCGAATTCAACTACCAACGCACGTCAACAAGTTAGCAACACTGCCAGGAAGGACCTTCTCCTATAGGAGAATTCAGAGAATATTAGAAGATAAACAGCCTGTTGTGTTTTGCACAATGGCCTTTAAAATATACAACAGTAATGGACCAAGAAGGTTTAAAAATCTTCTTAAAGGAAGATGGTCACATTTTCTACAGGCCTGAATTCTTTCATAGCAAGGAAAATCACCTCTTGAGTACACTGACTTGCTTTGCAGGGAAGCAAAGAAAAGTCAAACCCACACACCTGCCCAGTCTTCCCATCTCCCAATACAAAGCATACTCACATCCTGCCATTTCTGATCTTGCTCTTTTAATTGGGATTTCATCTTCTGCATCTCCTCGTAACGCAGCTGCCGCAAGTTCTGAACATCCTCGGCGCTGACATCGCTCATGGACTTGCTCCTATAACAAAAATACCCACGGTAACCAAGGTTCACATGACTGGATGTAGAGTTAAAACTGGGAGGTTGGGCTTAGACTTGGAAATTCCATCTAAATTTCTGCCGTACTACCTAGATGCTTTAGAGATAATATCACAGAAATAGCACTACAGAGATAAATGGTGTTTTTCCAAAACGCAGAAACAAGAGCCTTGCATGCAACTCAAGTGTGAATTCTTTCACAAAATGGCTAAATGAAACCTCCTAAGTCTGAAAAAAAAATCCAATGCTCATATTTAGAGTGGTCTCTGCATAAAAGAATTGTTTCAGAAAAACAGTAATTATTATTAGTCACTAGAATCATTTGTCTTTATTTTTCTATCTCTCCCCAAGATAATCTTTTAAGGTTTGGCTGCCTTTTCTGGACACTTATTAAATAATTTAATGATTACCTGATATTTTCTCCTCAAGTTCAATAGCATGAATAAGTGTGCTGCCTTTTCTCAAAGATTGTATACCACCTGCCCACCACTGCACTGGACTTGTTCTCAAGGCACCACAGGTAGTTTCTAATACGCAGTTATAAGATAGCCTCCATAACTTTCTTTTTATTAAGGCAGCTCTCATGTCTTCCATGGGTGCCCCCTGCCATGAGGATGCACTGAGAGTTAGCTCTCACAGAGCTCAATCTAGAGTAGAAACCAATGAACAAAGTTGGGTGTCGGACACAAGGCACATGTGTGCTACATACATACACCCATAAAAAGTTGGGGTAAACTGCCCCCAGAGATGGTGAAACTGAGGAGGGCAAAAGAGTGGAGTCAGGTCTAATATTGAATAGCAGGTAGGAATGAGTGAAGAGAGAGAGAGACAGAGCTTTTGAAGGTGGGGTGCCCAAAATGCTCTCTCCTACAAATCTTTCATATGGCACTACTGATTTTATTTCATTGTAACTGACTCCACCTTTATTCATTTAAGTAACACAGCACCTCCTTCTTGGGCCCATAAACTTTGCCTTCCCCTAGATCTTGCCATCACCACATTACTTAGCTCAGGAATTCAATTATAATCTATATAAATGACTCCCAAATCCACAGACAAGGACTAGTCCTCTCCTTAGACTCAATTCTAATTGCTCATTAAATAAATATCTCTGCATGGACATTCCCTAACCATCTAAATTGTAAAAGGACCAAATGAAATAATATCAAAAAGGATTCTGTAAACAGTAACTCACTAAACACATGGTTATTGTTAATGCAGCGAAACTCAATTCTGTCCACAACCCTGCTTTTCTTCCTATAGCTGTTAGTAGTGTTACCTGCCCTCCAATCGTTCACATCTGAAACCAAAGAACCATTTTTCACCTTTGCCTCTCCCTTCTCCTTACTTTCAATTAGTTATCAAGTCCTCTTATTCAGTGTCTTTTTCTTTCCATTTCTATTGCCAACACCCTAGATCAGAGCACAGTCAACTCTTAACGAGACTTTTTAAAAAGCTTCTTAAATTATCACCCAGTCTCCAGATTCCATGATGGTCTTTCCTGAACTGTTCCCTCCACTCAAAAGCCCTTCCCCAGTATATATGCCTTTTCAAATGCCCCTCTGTCCTCAGGAATCCTGCTAGACTAAACTCCAGATGGGTGTAAGCGATGTCCACTTGGAAGTCTAACAGGTTACTCAAAGTTGTCACAGACCAAAAACCATGATTGTTCATTCTACTATCTGCTCAAAACCCATCTTTCTCATCCCAATAAAAGTCAACACAACATTCCAGATTGTAGGCCAAAACTCTTGGAGTCATCCCAGACTCCTCTCTTTCTCTCATACTTGTCACTGATCTCCTTAGTAAAACCTGTCACTCTATCTTCTAAATATATCTAGGATACAACCACTCATCATCACCTCCTTGCTCCAGGCTATCATATCTCCTGCTGTATTATCACAATAATCTGTCTCCCGACTTCCACCTCTTCCTGCCCAACAGCGTATTCTCAACATAGCAGACAGAGGAGTCTCAAAATTGCACTCAGATCATGCGTCTACTCAACACCCCAATTCATTCCCATCTCACTCGAGTTAAAAACAGGTCCTACCAAGAATTACAAGGTCCAACCATGGCCTGGTCCCCACCTACATCTCTGCATCCTGAAATGTTCTCCTCCACTCACTCGGCTACTGCCAACTGGCTTCCTTGTTCATGCTCACATATAAGCTCTTCACCCAAATATCCATATGGCTTACCTCTCACTCCCAGTCACCTGCTTAAATGTTATCTCAGTGTTTCCTTGCAAAAATAGCATATGTCCCTCTCCCCTGGCCCACCTTTCTCCATAGCATATATTGCCATCTGAAATGTATGCTTATGTCAACATCACCTGCCTTGTCCTATAAGATTACAAAGCAGGAGTTTTATCCGGTTTGTTTACGGCTATATCACCTGTGCCTCAAAGAGAGCCCAGCCCATGCATGTGATCATAAATGTATTAATGATCTAGATAATATTCTGTCACTTTGATAAAGTCTTCCTAGCTCCTCTATGCCAAAAATGGTCTGTCTGTCCCTTCTCCCAACTTCTCTAGTGCTTTAGTTCTACCTTTCTCATGGTATCTAACAATCAGCATATTATGTGCATAGTGTGTGCACAAGCATGCACAAGCATGTTTGGCTTAGCTCCCTCACAGGCTCATACGTTGCCTGGGAGGAACACATAGCACAAGGCATGCAGGATACATGCATTTAACATCTGTGATAAGAATAAGTAATGTTTTATCACATTAATCAAGCAAAATAAACTTGAAATGTTTCTAATATTCTGTAAGAATGTATTACTCCTCCCCAAAATTTTATAAAGAAAGCTTTATAGGACTTATTAAGGAATACTAAAGAATTACATAGAGGAAATACATGAATTTACATATGAAATTACATATTGCTCTAGGAATGTAATATTACTTAACTAGGTATGACTATATAAAACTGATCTGTAAAAATTTGAGGATATAAATTTACTTAACTCACAAACTGCAAAGAATTAGGCTATTTCAGCTAATACTATAACAGACTCACCAAAAAGAGGCAAGGAAAAATGTTCACGATCAAGACATGAAGGGAATCTGGGTACTTAAAACGCAAGGTTACGAAAATTTCAGAACAAAAATGGAAATGCAAATATGATAGTAACATTATGGTGGGGGGACAGCTGGCTGGTCTCAACTGGCCCAGACTTCTACACCGGAGCTCTTTGAGACCTCACCTCCTGCAATGCAGAACCTGAACTTGTGCCTTTTCAAAAAACATACTCACCATGGGCAGGGCAGCCTCCTGAGAGCCCACGCACAGAACCTGGCACACAGGCAGTGCCCGACGTGAACAAAGTGAGCCAAACACTACCAGGAGCTGACAAGTCCCTGCACAGGGCAGGAATGTGAGCGCCTTCTGTTCCCTGGGGAGCATAAAGTTTCCTACATAAGCCTGAGCACTTTCCATACGGGCTGAGCCAGGCACTGGAATGAGACAGGAGGTAGGGGCTCCGGGCCTGCCTGTGGCAACAATTTTCACCCCATCCTAACATCGTTTCACTTCTCTGAGCCTCAGTTTCCCATTCAAGAAAGGGATTTTTATGAGGCTTGGGTAGGTTATGTGGACTGCATGTCAACAACCATCTCGTGCTATATACCAACTCTTCTTATGAAGGCAAATGTAACTGTGTGGGATCTTCTGAAAACTAACTCCCAAAGCAGTTTCAAATTAGAGAGGTCATCCCAGGCCACACTGATAAAATCTAGAACTTTTGGAGTGCGGGAGTGTTCTAGCCAGATCATGAAGAATTCTTTCTTTCCTTATCAGAGTTGACAGCATAATAAACTTCTAAGGGCTTACTGTGAGCCAAGCAGCCTAACCGGGATTATCTCATCAGACAAAACCTCAGTCCGGTTCTGCCACTCACTAGCTGGACGACCTTGGGAAAGCTGCTTCCCTTTCTCCATGTTTCTAAAATGCATATAATACCCACCTGTCTACCTTACAGAAATGAGATGAGCACCAGAGATAGTCTCAGGAAAATTGCTTGGGAAACTATAAAAGGCTGCGCGCGCTACGTTCACTAGCCAATCACAATTCTTAAAATTCATTTATCTGCCGCCCTTAAATCTGGAGAGGCTTCCATTTGGAACTGCTTTGGATTTTTTACAAAAATGAAAATACAGTTCTAATACGTGGCATTTTTAGCTGAATCAACTTTTCTTTAACAGCACTTGGGGTGAAGAGAGAAAGAAAGGGAAAGGAAAAGGAAAAAGGTATAGATTATAAAACAGTATTACTAAAATCTTAACTCTCTTCTCCCATGATACTGATCAACTGCTACTCTCCTGGCACTTTATGACTAGTTTTATGATGCATATTATTTTAGAACTCAATGTCAGAAAACTTATAGATGAATATCTAAGGAGTGAGGGATCAAAAAGGACCAGTATGTAGCAAAATTTCCTTACTATAAAAATCACTGATAGCCTCATGGGGCAAATAGAACTTCTATGATACTAAGTTAGGGGGCCCCAACCTTCAGAGGAAGATATAAATATACTTATTAATGCACCTCCAAATACAGAGTGGGCGAAAGTAGGTCTGTAGTTGTATGTGAGGCACAGAGTTTATTCTTGTACTATTATTAATTATTGTATTATTTTCCATATGAACAACTGTAAACCTACTTTTGCCTTACCCTGTATACCTCCATTAGATGTTGCAGGAATTCACTAAACTAAAGGGTAATCAATACTAAAACCAGGGTAAGAGGCGTTAGAGCTGCCACAAACTAGATTGATAAACAATATAAAGGAAACTTTTCATGTATAGGTTTATAGTCTAAGTCAGGGTTTCTCCACAGCAGTACTATTGACATTTGGGGGCCAGAAAATTATCTGTGGTTGGCGGCTATCCTGCCTCCTGAAGGACATTTAGCAGCATCCCTGCTGTAAAGGAACTAGATGCCAATAGCAATGCCTGCCTCCCCTGCCCCTCCAAAGGCTCACCCAATATGACCGTCAAAAAGTCTGCAGATATTGTCAAATATTTCCTGGGAGCATAATCCCCAGAAAGTAATTCACATCAACATTATTTTCCCTTCCTTTTTGTTGTCTTGACAATAAAAAGATAATTGGCAGCAGATTCAATGGCTTAATCATATTGCAAAATTATAACTGTATATCCTTACATATTTGTCCTTAGAGCGTCCACCAAGACCATAAGGGCATAAGTCCATGCAACACAAAAGCACACATGTGAGAAATGACTGCCACACACAAAGCGTCTTACTAAAAATACACAAGTGACAAGTGTTAAATGCCAAATAAAAAGCAAGCCAAAAATTAATAATCTAAGATTTCAAAATCTAATACACATTTCTCTTTAACCTGGTTCTTACCAAAAAAAAAAAAAAAAAAAAAAAAAGCATTCATTATTTTTCAACCATAGGATGTTGAGCAATAATGATTTTCTAGGTAACATATATTATGTCCAGAGAAATATCACCCAGGAATATCAGTTGTTTTATCCTTATAAACACTTATGAACATCTTTATAAACATGAAATAAGTTCCAGATTAAAAGCCTATATTCAATCCAATTTTTTGTTTTCATTGCAGATCAATTTAAGAAAAATATCAGTAACTGACAGAATATGGGGGTGGGGGGGGGGGGAAACACCATATAATAGATTTTTTATTGCAAATGGCCCAAAATGTACTTGAGTTTTGTGAGAACATATTTGTATTTGTGTTACTTTCCATTATTTGACAAGGCAAGCATTACTAGTATTCATCAGTCTCAATTTACAGACAATCTTTATTTGTGCTGTTCCCTTGCCACTAAATTGCCTTTATAACAAACATTATACCAGGCAAACAGCAGTCTTGAAATAATCTACAGGAGGCATTCGCTCCTGCTAGTGACAGCCCAGAAAAATCCTTTGCTTTCTGAGTCTTGGCATTTGGGTTTCTCTCTTTTCTTACCCCAGTTATATAACGTATCCTTTGAAATAGCTGTACATGTTTCCATCCCTCACATGACTTGTACTCAGGGTACTTGCATCCACTTTAAGAAAAACAACCTATTTACATTATAAAGTCTTATTTACCAATGAAAATTCTTCTGAAAATTATCACTCAAAATGCTTGAAGCTGCAAAAAAGATTTTTCATCAAGTTACAACAGCTTTGCCTTGATGAATCAAGATGAACGGGTGCTTAAGCATCTTGTTGAAGTTGCCGTGTTCACCCTCACTGATGAGAAGGCTTTAACACCTAAGGAGCTGGGGCGGGAACGACGTGTCCTTGCATGGCATATTCAAAACAGGCTGGGAGCCTGATTTTTAAAATCAACAACTGAGAAGTACTTGCAATGATGTGCCTGTGGTTCAGTTACACCTTTGACATCCAGAATGGTTATACTGCTTTAAACAGCAATTTTAGCAACTTTCAAGACCTCTACACTATCAAATTATCAAAACTAGAGAATCTTCGAGATGAATTAAATCTTAGAGATGAATTAAGTAGGGAAAGATACTTAGATACTCAGTCTTAGGCCTTAAATTTAAGATACTTGATTTAAGATTAAAATATTTAAGTTTTTCTTCTTGCTCAAAAATGTTAGCAGTTAGATTCACAACATCAAAGAAAGTTTGATGGAAAATATTTATATGTGCCACCTGGTTATTTTTTACTAAGAATAAATGATTCTATACAGTTAGTATGTAGTAAAAAGCAAAAGTAATATTTACTTTTAACTCTACTATTCTGGAAATGGAAAATATTTCCAAAAGTTATTTTTATAATATTTATGTCTATCAGGAGACTAAAATTAAAAAAAACAGACAAAAATTAAGAATTAGTTATAAATACAGTCTTTGCAATAATAGTGGAAACTACCAAGATTTTAATTTGTGCAAGTTTTGGAAGGCTAATTTGACTCTATAACATAGAATGTTTCCAAATCCTACTAAGGGAACATTAATGGCATTCACCAACCAAACTAAGAAAGCCCCCATATGTAGGAGTATTTAGACAATGCCAACCACATGTATTCCAACCTCAAAGTAAATGCTAATATCCTCTTTCCATCACAGATTTTTCTAAAATGCAATTATGCAGTATCCCACATCCAGAAAGGAGAATTTAGGTCTATCTAATAATCAAATACCAAAATAAATATACCCAATCTCAGGTAAGTGCTTTTGTTACTTTTAATCAACTCCTTAAAAAAAAAAAAACTCCTGAATTTTGAACCATTAAAACAATTCTATTGTTGTGAGATAGCAGTACATGCACTGAGCACTCAGACACACTACCATTAGGTTGCTAAATTAAGAAAAATATCCCATTTTAATATCTCATGCATAGCACGCAGCATCCACGTTTAGTAACATGCCAGGATAGAAGTGCAATGACACATTACACAAAGGACAAACAATGTGCAGAGATTTCTTTTTTGCTGCAAACCACAACACTTACCCATTCTCACCATAAATCTTTTGAAAGAGTCTAAGAAATCAGAAAACCAAAAATTAAAAGTCATTTCTTCCAGTGTGTTATTTTTTAAATGTTCGACGTTTTTAACTTGTGTCTAACAAGAGATGGACAAATCTCAAAAGGTTGCTTTTCCCGTCACATTCTTGATCATGTCTCAAATTCTCATTGATCTCATATCTCAAGGAATTCACATTAAGCAAGATCAAGAGTTTCCGGATTTAGCTTGAACTAACAAATCCAAAAAAAAAAGCTTTATTAGTTGCCAGGAACTAATAAAAAAGTTAGATTTGCATCTACTAAGTTTATTCAACCTAATCACATTTGCCCATCCCAAAGTTCAACAAACTGAACATTCATTCATCAAACATCAAGTTGCATAACACATAAATGTGTTCATTATTCTAAAAATGGTCATAGTTACATACATGTAAAATTTAGCAGGCAGCAAATAATATTCATGCATTTTAATCAAGTTTGCACTACACTTTGAAACTATAAATTTAGAAATTCACACACTTATAGTCCAAGAAACCTAGGTCAAAAACAAAAGTCAAAAGCAAGTTAAATGAAATTTGCAATGCCATATTTTCAGGGAAATTTTTACACAAAAATCACACACTCCAAAATGAGAAACACATAAAACCACACTACAACCGGACTATTTCAGAAACACCTGGACACGAGAATAAAAGTCTGTAAATGTAATCAGAAAACATTTTCATGAAACACCATGTCTCAGAACAGTACCACAGTCTCTCCTTAAGGCCCAAGGCAATGACTGTGTACACACTTTCTTAAACAGGCCTCGAATAGGCGATTCAGTGATGTGCAAATATGGAATTGCACTTTTTCCAGGAAATGTGCAAAGGTTTCTCAAAGCAAAATAAATGTTTAGAGGATGCTTCAAAATGGCTCAGGGCATGCAGTCGGGCAATATGATGCCACTTTCTCACACAAGAAAAGTAACACAAGACCATCCATTCAGTACAAGCAAAGTCCTTGCAGAAACACACTCTGACCTCTCAACCATCAGCCGTTTCCTGTGCCTAAGCCTGCTGGCCTCCCGGATGGCCTCCCACTTCCGTAAGTCCGCCTCACTGCAGGGACCAGGGATGAAGCTGATGGGAGGCACAGAAGTTCCCAGCTTCCAACACTGGATCTTACGGGTCAACATGTCATCTGTCTTCCGCCGATACGAAGGAACTAGTACTCTACAGCTATTACTTTTCTCTTTGGATGGGCACGTCCTTTCAAGTACACAGAGAAACTTTGCTTGAATTTCTGGAGGAAGAGTCCAGGGCTCGGGGAAAGGGATTGGTTGGTATCTATCTGGGGCCCCCGAGAGAGGCACCTCTTTCTTCTGCGCTGGGATTCGGCGGACAATCATATCATCTTTCTCTAGATCTGGAAGTACGAGTTCACCTTCTCTGCACTGCAGAATTATATCTCGCTCTACAGGATCATCTCGCCCAGAAAACCTTCTGAAGTCTTCGAAAGCTCGGACGACACATGGATTGGCATGGAAAGCCCCAGTCTTTCTGACAAAGAAATCGTCATTCTCTAAGTCAGGATCGAGGGCTGACATCTCAAGGTCACCTCTTCTATACCCTGGTGCATAAGAGAGATGCCTCCTGCGAGTTATGAGCCTTGGGCCAGCAGTGGGATCAAGTTTGATATTTGTTTCAGAAGATAAGATGTCATCAGAATATGTTTGGAGGGCCTGAAGTAATAAAAACGGACTGAAGCACAGAAAAGAAAAAGGAAGGGAGAATCTTATTAAGTGCATTAAGGAGAACAGGTAATTAGGTAGCAGACCAACTAGCCATTATTGTTTATTTATAGGGGGCATGGGAAGGACTCTTGTGTGGAAGAAAGACTGGCATTGAACGCCACCACCTGTGCCTTTCCTGGGTACCACTTAAAGAAACAAGAGCAGAGGATACAGCTCAGGAAAGGTGGGCACCAAGCAGGCCAAGTGACAGGGCTCGAACTGGGAAGAGTACAGCTCCTTGAGATACAATGCAACTCTTGCTGTCACCTCTTCCTCATTCCATGAGCCACAATGACCTCATTCTCATCCCAGAGATGCAGGAATGATCTTGAAAGGTTTTAGAGTTGGTCATGAAGCACTGTATGCAATAGGCACCGGTAGGAAGCAGACATTTAAAAACGACAATGCTCTGAAGCTGTACGAAAGACCCTGATGACTCTTCTCTTTGCATTTTCCCACCAGACTTGCCTGTCCTCCTGTCCATCTGAAAGTTATTTCCTTTATATCTCCACACATAGCACAACTGTAAAACTAGGTCCACTTTTCTTTTTCTTTAACATATTTTTATTGATTTCAGAGGGGAAGGGAGAGGGAGAGAGAGATAGAAACATCAATGATGAGAGAAAATCATTGATTGGCTGCCTCCTGCACGCCCCCTACTGGGGAGCAGGCCCGCAACCCAGGCATGTGCCCTTGGCCGGAATCAAATCTGGTACCCTTCAGTCTGCAGGCAGATGCTCTATCCACTGAGCCAAACCAGCTAGGGCGGTCCACTTTTCCAAAGGCCTTTTAGAAATGGTTTTCCAAAAGAACTGTCTATGCCACATGTAACTCCATACTGTTTTATACATGACTATGCTAAAGAATACTTAATCCTATAGACTTCCAAGCTTACAGGTCTACACAGAAAGCAATATGCTATACATTAGGCTTTTATACTAAATATTAAGTAAGTATAGTTTCATGATTCAACGCATCATGGTCAGAGGTTAATGGCGCAGCAGAAGCCGGCTGGGTGTGGCATGCTAGACTCCAAGCAGGAAGGCTCATGCAGGCAGGTACACCTTGGCTCCTCCGAAGCACCACTGGTTCTCCTGGCTGCATGGCTGTCCCATGTGCTCCTGGCTACTTCCATCAGGAGTGAACGTCTTTGGCAGGTGCCGTCTAGCCTACGCTCTGCTTTCTGCATCCTACTAAGAATGGCAGAGCTTCTGTCAGAGCCTGAATCCTCATCCTCAAAGTCTGGGCTCCATCTACTGTGGAATGAGGCAGAGAAAGGAAGGAGAGAGGGAAGAAGACAAAGAATTGGAGAAAAATATAACTAAATAGTGTCAAGCTATGACTATGTATAGAGGAGGATGTGTTAGGATCCAGATCCCAACTTTTAAATTTAAATGATTTTTTTTTTTCAGTTACAGAGGTTCTATAGATGTTGGAAGGAAATCAGTCTGTCTCTTTCATAAAAAGCACACACAGAACGCACCCAGCCAGGGCACTGAATGAACACTAGACTGACAGAAACAGGCATAAAGACAAACCTGAATCCCTGAAATTCTTTATACCATGGCTTATAAGTTTCCCTTTTTATTCTTTTCCAGTTCACATCTTCTGGGATCCAACATTTGGGAAGAAACTGATCAAAAGTGTTCCCTGGGTTTGGCATGATGGGGCTTAGCTTTCGCACATAAAGGTCATCCTTTACAGTGTCGGGGATGCTTGTCCTTTCTTCTTCCTCCTCCAAGTAACAGAAGGAGTCTGAAGTTTCTTGTACTGCTGTCCAGTTCTCCACATGTGTGCCCCAAGTTCTCCTCTCGTTACTGTTCAAAACATCCAACCAATTAAGATACTGCATGATCAACGTGTGACAGAGAACACAAAAGGCATGCTTCCTGGCTCACAAAGTCTATACCACTGTGAATGAAGCAAATTAGTTGCCCTTCTCATCATTATCGCTCCTAGAGCAAAGTTACGGCAGCATCACAGCACCTCATTTTAATTAGACAATAGCTTGATACCCGAGGGCCGAAGATAACAATCGGTGCTAAAAGGAGACAAGCTGCAAACAGTTTGGGGGATTACTTTATGTAGCACAATCAACAGGATAGACACGTGGCCCCAGGAGAAATTTTTCTGACCTCATCAGTTCGCATAGCCCGGTGGCTACGAGGTCAGCAGGAGAAAACAAGTGTGAACTAGAGTTAGGAGAGAGAGTTTTTGAGATGAAACTCTCTGGGCTCTTTCTCACCTGGAATCTAGGGTTGGCTAAGTCATCCAAAACTACAGGAAGGGGAAAAAAAAAAAAAAAAAAAAACTACAGGAAGGCAACCTTTGCTCATCCTCGGCATCCGATCTACTTTGGGGACCGAATGCCTCCTTCTGATAGGAAGCTGGATTTGAAAAGTCACACTCTGCTCTGCTAACCTGATGAGAAATCAACAAAGGGGGTGGGGGCGGGGGTGGGAGCAGCTGCACAGCTGAGCTCCCAAGGAATAATGTAAGTCACCCAGTAAGCTGCAAGATACCATAATGCTAAAGGCAGGCATCTAAAAAAAGAACCAGCAAATCATATGCTGACATTTTTAAATGGAAGATATAGCTTCAAGATATGAATGACTAAAAATATAGGGGGGGGGAAAACATTTTCATTAATGAAGTTTAAAATATTATCTATGAAATACAGGTTAAGGACCATTCCTTTTACCACATTTAAATATCCCAGCACATTTGCAAACACAGGAAATTTTAAAGCTCAATCATCAGATCGCATCCCAGTACCTTGGAAAGGTCCCATCAGCTTCTGTGCCGACCGGGCTTGCCCAGCTTCTTCTGTTATCCTCATGTCTGTCCGGCTTCTTCTTCCTCAAGGGCGCCGGCACGTAGGAAGGCTGTCTACTCTTGTTGGGTAAGAAACGATTGAATGGTAAAGCAGACTTTGGTTCAATGGCCGAAATCCTTCGATAGGACATATCATCTTTATTATATTCTTGCATTTTGAAGGTAAATTCAGAATCTGTGTCGCTTTCACAACCTGTAAAAATAAAAAGGCACAAGAACTGGCTTTATTTTCCAGATTATTCGTCTCGCTGAAACCCACACGGCATGCCTGCTTCGTCTTTCCCTACTGCTAACTGCGGGAAATATTTTTAGAAATTTGTCATGAAGTTGCGATAAGATCCATTAGGAGGAACTGGCTTTGCATACTGGAGGCGCCTGCGGTACATTCTTTCACTGTTGCACATTCTACGCAGAAAAAGTCCCAAATTACAGCTGAAACCCTTTTCTTCTTGACTCTCCTTGCCCATATAATTTTTTCATCAAATTTGTTGATGGAATACATGTCCATAAAACACACTTAAAATGAGATATAAAAATAATTCTTGAGAGACAGTAGTTCAAAATAAAGCATGCAACCATCTAAAATTTGTGTGAGGTAAGAGATAAGGGAGGACACAGAAAAAGTAGAAAGCACAGAAGATCTTAAAGGGGGTCGGTAGACCATTCTGAGACCCCTATCAGCAAGAATCACACATTAGGTCTGAGACAGAACCAAATGTCTTCTAACGTCCCATAGGAATGTCAAGTCTCATACCTTAATGAGAACACAGAAGTCAGGCTTTTTCTAAGGGTGGCCGTGGGAATTACATTTTTGATACAAAGTCATTTAAACACAAATTCAAAAGACTACACCTCAAAGTCAGATCCATACAAATACAATCCACTCTTTTAAAACTAACTAAATAGCTGTACTCTTTTAAAGACGGGAGGAGAAGAGGTACAGAACACTGCTACAGATCCGGGCCAAGTTGTCGCCCGCTCCTGCCCTTTTTTCCTTCCTGCCTCTGCGTATTTCTACTAGTAAAGGAAGTTTGCTAACGTGGCTTGCTTCCCACCCAGGCCCACTCCCTGAGCACTGCACTCTCTCAGCACACAGAGCAGAGCGCCTGCAGGGTTAACCTGAGCTACAGGCGGTCTTCTCTCCTCCCTCCTGCCTGGCAGGAATCTACAGTAAATAACAGGGAGACTGGCCTACAGGAAGCGGTTTAACACACAGCTATGTAAGCAGGAGACCTGAACAGGGTGAAGGGGAGGAACAGCAAAACGGGAGACATTTAACCAGCTCTCACCAGGAGGATTCACGGTCAATCATCTGTGCTCCGTTTGCTTTTACCACCTCCTACATAAACAGTACATTTTTTGGAAATAAGAGAAATGTCTTAATTCTTGCCAAAATTTGTACATGTGAAATCTTAAATGCACAAAAGATTGTGCTACTCGGAAATATTTTCCCCATCTTTATTGAGATATAATTGACATATAATAGTGTATATGTTTTTGTTTTAATATATTTTTATTTATTTCAGAGAGGAAGAGAGAGAGAGAGAGAGAGAGAGAGAGAGAGAGAGATTGAGAGAGAAGCATCACTGATGAGAGAGAATCATCGATTGGCTGCCTCCTTCACACCCCCCACTGGGGATCGAGCCCACAAACTGGACATGTGCCCTGACTGGGGAATGAACCATGACCTCCTGGTTCATAGGTCAATGCTCAACCACTGAGCCATGCCAGCCGGTCAATAGTGTATGTGTTTAAGGTATCCAGTATGATTTGATTTAAATATATTATAAAACAATTACTACAATAAGTTTAGTTAATGATGGATAAGTTTAGTTATCCATCATTCTTATACAGATACAAAAAAAGACAAAAAAAAAAATTCTTGTGATGAGAACTCTTAGGATCTATTTTCTTTTTTTTAATATATTTTTATTGATTTCAGAGAGAAAGGGAGAGGGAGGGAGAGATAGAAACACCAATGATGAGAGAGAATCATTGATCAGCTGCCTCATGCACACCCTCTACTGGTGATAGAGCCTGCAACCCTGGCATGTGCCCTTGACCGGAATCGAAACCTGGAACCCTTCAGTCCACAGGCCGGCGCTCTATCCACTGAGCCTAACCGGCTAGGGCAGGATCTACTTTCTTAACAACTTTCAGGTATATAACAGTGTTAATTAACTATAGTCATCATGTTGTTCATTTTATGAATTTTTAAAGTTATCTTTTTATTTTTGAGTCTAGTACAATGCTCTATAGCAGTGATGGCGAACCAATGACACGCATGTCAGAGGTGACACATGAACTCATTTTTTTTATTGATTTTTCTTTGTTAAATGGCATTTAAATACATAAAATAAATATCAAAAATATAAGTCTTTGTTTTACTAGGGCTGCAAATAACAAAAAATTTCTGTATGTGACACGGCACCAGAGTTAAGTTAGGGTTTTTCAAAATGCTGACACACCATGGTTCGCCATCACTGCTCTATAGAGTAGGCAAATATTCTTGAGATAGGGAGTTTCATATAAACCTAAGGAATTTGACCTTGCAATTCTGTTAACCTAAAAACATTATCCTAAGTTGTGGTGATCATCAATTTTGGACTATAACCTGGTGGGTAGCAGAATTTTAATATACTAATCACACACAAAAAAACGTTTATCATGCTGGTGGCCCCCAGGCTCTTTTATGACCCCTAGTTATAATTACCAAGTCTTCACTTCCACACCCTTTAACAAGGCCTGTAACCCCTTTTCCGAGATCAGGAAGCTGTGAGACAGTGGCCTCTGCTCTTGGCCACACGGACAGGCACCAGTCCAATGAGAATCGGAGAAGACTTGGAGTCCGCACCACAGGCCCACTGCATCTGAACTGTCTCAAGGCTGCATATTCCCACAGTGCCTCAATCTCCCTCTCACTGTTTGCTGGCCAGATATAAATTTAAACTTTAAATGTTTTCACTTCTCTGGTCAGGACAGAGTAATATAATGAGTTCAGAATTTCAGCCTGTTTTTACAGCTTTAAATTAAAAATCAGATTCCATTTCTTTAAAACTATTATAATACTCATCTAGACTATAAAAGTGTCACACCTAAATAGCAAACAGCCAACAACTGCAGCAGTAATTATAAAGGTTAACTCTTCCCTAGCCATTCACATTTTTTACTGTTAGTTTTTAAATGCCATTTTTTGTGACCATGCTTGACACTTTGCTGATTTTTATTTTTGAAAGACAAATTCATCGTACTTTGCATTTATGTAAATTTACCTAAGAACAACAAATAAAGATTAAACTCTAGTTAATGACCTACATGCTAAAGTATTTAGGACAAGCGTAATATGCTCTGAAATGCCTCCAAAAAATAAGATGGATAAATTAAGGCAGGGAGAGGCAGGATAGGTATGTGATGAAGCAGATATAATAAAATGTTATGGTAGAATTATGTGGTGGGTACATGGGTGTTCACTGGAAAATTCTTCCAAACTTTGATGATGTTTGAAATTTTTTTATAATAAAAATGTTAGAAAAGTCACTTAATATTAAAATAATAATCAAAATGAACCAGTAAAATTCCTAACAATCTAGTACAAACTCACAACCCGAACTCTCAATTTTTTTCACATTAATGGTAGAAACACAGAAATACTTGAAGCAACTTTACTCATGGTTCCAATCTAGTCCAATTTGAATTGCTAGAGGTATACATTTAGAAATTTCTCAGACCACCCAACATTCACAGGAGTAAGACTTAGCATTTAATTAACTGATCTGACCAGGACACTGACATTTTAAAGAAGTCTCCTCCCCAAAACAGGATGATTTTCATTAACATGCTCCTTTCATACTTACTCTGTCCTGGATTAGCTCTGACCCTTACAGAATCAAAAGATGTTTTTTTAACACCATGCTTATATTGTTATTTAATCAAAGTTTAGCACAATGTTATATCATGATAGATATCAATCATTTCTTCTCTTAGAGATCATTAAAAAGATGTCTGTCTTGTTCTTTTTCTTGAGAATTTTTTAAAATCTTTTTTTGGGGGGAGTAAGAGAAGGGAAATAAGAAATTAACTCAGGAATTAGAACAAACTTTTTAGGACCTTTTTTATGTTTAGATATACCAGTCAATAGGCCTCATAGGCACAGATTATTAACCCTGAATCTGGAGGGAAAATAATCAAAATATATTATCACTGATAAAACAGATCACAGTTTAACGGTTCCTCTTGTCTCCTCTGAAAATGGGAAGAAAGAAAAATTGAAACCACTACCCCTCTAGTGATGATACAGTGAGGGAGGAAAAAAATTTTTTTTCAATTACACTTCAGTCCAGCCAGTGTATCTCAGTGGTTGAACGTCAGTACATTAACCAGGAGGTCGTGGTTCAATTCCCAGTCAGGGCACATGTCTGGGTTGCAGGCTCGATCCCAGTGTGGGGCATGCAGGAGGCAGCCGATCAATGATTCTCATCATTGATGTTTCTCTCTCTCTCCCCCTCTCTCTTCCTCTCTAAAAAATTCAATAAAAACATATTTTTTTAAATTAAAAATTACAATTTAATCTCTATTTTCTTGATGAAATTTTTGCCCTCAATAGTTTTCACCTCAATTTTCTACTTTCTCCCATTCCCAATTTTTTCTTAACATGCAAACAAATTCAAATAAACTGCCAGTCAAAAATACAACTCACTTTACCTAGCAGTTTTGGCTCAGTGGATAGAGCATAGGCCTGCGGACCAAAGGGTCCCCGGATTTGATTCCGGACCAGGGTGTGTACCTTGGTTACAGGCTCCTCCCCAACCTGGGCCCTGGCCATAGCTCATGCAGGAGGCAACCAATCTATGTGTTTCTCTCACATGGCTCTTTCTCTGTCTTTCCCTCTCTCTTTCACTCTCCCTAAAAATCAATGGAAAAATATCCTCGGGTGGGGATTAACTAAAAAAAAATGCAACTCACCTTCACGCCCACCCCTCAGCGTGATATCAGAGGAGCAGCTTGTGAAGGACCTAGAGCCCAGAGAGTCCAAGCTTTCAAATGAATCTTCTCTCCTATGGCTGCCTGGGGGCACAGGGAACTCTCCCCGGTCAGCACACCAGATGTCTCCGTATCCACTGTCCCTGCCACTTCGTTTCAGGCAGCTGGAGTCTTCAAGTGCCTAAAAAAATTTTTTAGAGAATAAGTTAGCATAAAATCCCAAACTGTAGTCAGTCATTACTTGTTTGTTTGCATAGCTCAAGTTGTGCTTCATTTGATAGGTGAGGCAACAAGGTCTCCTGTTAATCATAAAAATCTGATTTTAAAAAATCAGAAAATAAATCTGCATTCCCACAACTAATAGTTGGTCCTCATATAACAACAAAGAGGTATTCATTATTATTTAATAAAGTAGTACAATCTATATAAAATTAAGGGATGGGAGACATTTTAATACGAAAAGCTACTAACTAAATTAATATACTAAAATCAATTATTATCTAGAGTTATTTGGCAATAAATACGGAGTTAAATAGAAAAATCAAACTGGACTTTGATATCCAAAAGAAGACAAATTAATCATAACCATCCTACGTTCTGCAAATAGTTGAGGAGATATATGTTAAATAAAAAAAGTAGTTAAATTTTTTAACAAAAAGTTTAAAACAGAGAGGAGCAAGTACAGCAGGTATACACGTCACAGAATTTATCACTTTCATTGATTAAGAAACCTAGATCTGAACCAAGAAAAGCAGACTTGTTGGCTGACATACAAAATATTTTCCCTGAATCTAAATTAAATATTTGTTTGGCTCATGTAAGAGGTGCACAAAAACATGGCAAATGTCAATAACTATAGGTTTATAAATCACATAGCATTTACACAAAATCCGTATTTCTAATTAGCATTTCTCTATGAAAGTACATAGCAAAATACAACTGGATTTTTTAAAATTAGGATTTAAGTAAATGTATAAAGCCCTTAGCAGAGTCATGATACAGAGTAATAATTAATTAATTAATGAATTAATACAGAGTAATAAACTCTTAATGTTTTAATATGGTGAATGTAACTGTCATTATAGTAAAAGTCAGGAATGTTAGCTTCAGGTGACTTCACTAAAACAGAGATGGTTTAAAGAACCTAGGGATTCCCAACAACCAAATGTAAGATGTGGGCCTTAATTAAATCATGATCCTCAAAAAAAAGCTATGAAACAGAGCTGGGAGATAATTGGGAAGATTTGAATACAGACTGAATATTAAATAATGGGGCATATTTATGAATTTTCTTAATTTTAATAGATATTGTGGCTATATGAAAGAATTTCCATATACCAAAAATAAAAACTCTTATTCTTAAGACACGCATACTAAGTATTTAGGGGTGAGATCTTTGCAATTTACTTTAAAATGATTAAGTAAATAAAACATAGATTGATGAACAGATACATAAATAAAGTCAATACGGGAAATTTTTAATAATTGAATCTGATGACATATTTGTTGTACTCTAACTATGAGCATATTATAAACATTCTCAACATAAGAAAAAATCGACAAAAGAACATTTACAATGAATAATCAGCAGCTCCGTCAGGCACACTTTTGGCTAAGGCTGGATTTGTCAATCTGTAGTTGAATTTTTGGACAAGTGTTTGAAGAACCAATAAAGTCGAGTAGAACTAGATTTTTACATCTTTGGATGCCAGACAAACTGGTGTTAGAATTAACATCCTGTCATGAAAATGTAAGCACCTACCTTGTACCTTATTTCTAAGCAGATGGGGAAGCTGGGCCTAATGCTGGTATCACCTAGATATGTCTCATAATATAAAATGATTAAAAACTTTAAGTAAATCTTTTTTTTAATTGATTTCAGAGAGGAAGGAAGAGGGAGAGAGAGATAGAAACATCAATGGTGAAAGAGAATCGTTGATCAGCTTCCTCATGCACACCCTACACTGGGGATTAAGCCTGCAACCCAGACATGTGTCCTTGACCGGAATCAAACCCTGGACCCTTCAGTCTGAAGGCCAACCCTCTATCCACTGAGCCAAACCAGGTAGAGCGTAAGTAAATCTTTTGATCCATCAGGCTTCTATAGACATACTGTTGTAGACATAGGGTCCTCTCACTACACAGCGAGATGACTTTTGACCTCATAAATGTTAAAGTATTTATAACAGGCCACCACAGTTATAAAAGAGCCTGAGTCTGACCCTGGTGCCTGGTTATGTAGGACTTCTCTCTGACAAGTCACCTGAGTCACCTCCAACTTATAGGGTAACTCAGGTGCAACAGCTTATCCCAAGTGTTTTTTTAACTGATATCTTGGATTGGCCATTAAGCATTATCTACTTAAGTTGGAAAGTTTGATGAACACAATGGTTTTGATTTTTAACAAAACAGTTGCCAAACAGGTTACAGATCCACACACCTCTTATGGCTATTCCCACTCTATAATAATGGAATAAAACCACAACTATAGTTTTTAAGTATCAAAAAAAAATTTAACTGACGAAAAATGTTTACCTACGTCTGGTGACAGGAAACAGCCTGTAATAGAGCATTCCCAGCACATGCACTGCACCAGCCTTATTCAGCCTGAGTCAGACTGCCATAAAAAGGACCAAGGGCTGTTGAGAACACTAACACAGGGGCCAAAGTCCCATATTGTTTTGAACTGGATGTTTTCTTAGCTGAAATAACTGAGACAAAGCTATGATCATGCCCAAAGCCCCCTGCATGTTCCTCCATCAGTCTTACCCTCCTCTACCCTCTTCCACTGCAGTGACTTATCTGCTCATCTGTCTCCAACAGACAACTGTGCTGCACAAGGATGGATTCTTTGTCTTGTGCGTTTTCCCAACACCTGCTACAAGGCTTGTGCATGATAATATCTCAAATATTACCTGAATTAACTGTTTCAAGAATTTGAATAGAGTGCTATAAACTCTTTACAATTCAAAAATAACAAAAATAAGCCCTGGCTGGTGTGCTCAATCGTTAGAGCATTGGCCCATGCACCAAAGGGTCTTGGATTCAATTCCCGGTCAAGGGGATGTACCTGGGTTGCAGGTTCAATCCCCAGCCCTGGTCAGCTCATGCAGGAGGCAACAATGTACCACTCTCACATTGATGCTTTTCTCTCCCACCCCCCACCACCCCGCTCCACTCCCTTCCACTCTCTCTAAAAATCAATGAAAAACATATATATCCTTAGATGAGGATTAAAAATCATCATCATCAAAAAGGAAGACCTTCTAAATTATATAATCCCATCTTTCTATAATGTAGATGGCTAAACTCGGGCAAAACTAAAGATTAGGGTACATATAAGGCCTGGTAATCATTTTCACCTTGGTCTAAAATTACTATCTTCCATTCATGATAACTATTTTCATCCTGATCTACAATTTCTATCTTCCATTCATGACAACTAACATTTATTACATCTTTACAATGTGCTCGAGACTAATACCAAACGCCTTTTTGGTAAAGTATCACTTCATCATCATCCATCAAAACCAATGGAGCAACTACAATTAATTAGACGGTGATATATTATTTTGACTACCTATTTTCTTCTGAGCATTGCAAACTCCCCTAGACATATATCCCCTAAGAGAAGTTAATTTTCCCATTTGGATCTTATAAATGAAGATTTGGCAGAACTACAGTCAGACCTGGCACTCAACTCTCCTCAAACTGTCCTTAAACAATCAAAAGCATTACAATAAGCATTCTAATTTTAAAAAGCCATATCATGTTTCATGTAACAGCATTCACTACTCCTTAGGAAACAGAAGCAGTATGTAGAATTGTGGAGATATAGAAATATAGGCATTAGAGGTACTCCTCCATGACTAAAAGATACTAAAAATTTTTAAAAATTGCGTAGCTTCCATACATTTTAATAACCCTGAAGAACCTTTCTACTACAGGTTGAATTCATAATGAACATAGAAAGATTTAAGTATACAAAGTATCTAAGAAAGGAAACGAATGCCTATTGTGGAGTTAGCTAGAATTAAAAGATAAATGCCTATATCCTGGACACTGTAGTGAAATAGACTCACTCAGTCCCTAGTGGTGGCATACAAAGCCAGTCAATGAGTAACAATCCTCTCTACCCATCCCAATCTAGACCAGAACAAAGATAGTCAGACCTTCCACATTTGCTATAGAGAAGGAGAAGAATGAAATGGAAGGAAAACCGAAAGGGGGAGGGAGAGAAGAAGAGAAAATAGTATTAGTTATAGTGATCATCTCATACAGATATAGTTTCCTTACCTTGGTGAGAGCTTGTCCCAAAAGATTCTCAAATGCTTTCAAATTAAGATATGGACCATTATAGTAGGGGTTACTTTGTGCTTTTCTTCCCAGCCAGTACAATGTTATCAAAACCTTTAAAAAAAGTCCATAAAACAAAAAGATCAGTCTATTTATAGCAACTAACTGCAATCTCAAATGCATGTGAGCATTCCGGATAAAAGAGCATATCTATCTATAGCTGAAAGATTTTTCTTTTAAATTATGGGAAGGAAAAGGGTCATTAAAAATGTGATTCATTCTTCCTAGATTGCACAGTTAGATTCCTGGTCAGGGTACATGCCTAGGTTTCAGGCTCAGTCCCCCAGGTGGGGGCATTCAGGCATTATCTGAGCACATTCTCAGACAAAAGCCCAGATCCCAACTTCGTATGTATAGTAGAATTCATTCATGCATTCTACTAGTACATATGAAGGGGGGGGGGGCGAATTAAACCTTTAAAGCAATAAATATTTTTCTAACCAACAAACTTAGTAAATGGACACTTAAAATCAATGTCTCAGCTTTCCTAAAGGTACTGAGCTCTTATGTGTTTAATAAGCTGTCACATCAGAAATTCTTCTAATACATTAGAATATTATAGATATTATATAAGTCCACATTGAATAATCAGGTAGAATTCTTAAACATTCATTGTTGTTCCTTAAAGTCTGATTTGATGGTTTCTGACTTACTCCCCTAAAAGTCCTAACATGTGTTTATTTGCCTTTACCACATTACTAACATATGAAAAACAACTTTCTAAGTTTAAACTATCCTCTTATTACCATGAAGACAGACAATATGTTTTAACCATATTTTAACATATTTAGAGTTTGTGACTGGTTGGTTTCTAGCAAAAATTTCATTGAAAAAAAAGATAACAGAGAATATCAGCTATTTTTAGATCCCACTGCCTTATTACATAACAAGTAAAAAAATCTATAATATTCCATTTAAACATATCTTACATTTTTCACTCTCCTATCAGTCTCTTCTTGCCTGTAAAGAAAAAAGAGAAAATATCTATTAATATCTAAGAACTTTAAATTATTAATTATTAACTGAAGCTCAGTTCTATGGATATTAATACCACCTGGAAGCTCAGAAATTTCAGAAAAAAATTTCCTGCATTCATTGATTTCATGAAATATAAGCATCAGTTTCTGTTAAAAAGCTTGTATTTTCTCATTTTATTCATTACAATCTGGTTTCTAAAATGCAGTATTTGCATTTTTTGTATTTATTTTAAACAATGCTTAAACCCTATCAAAGGGGGGGAAATGTGCTCATGGCAGAGGGATCAGAAACAGGAGAAAGAAAAGCTATTTTGCACTGAGTTCTCATCTTCATCGTCCACATCAGTTTTCTCACCCAAATTCCCCAGAGCAAACTGCTGAGCCCACAACCCTGCAGATGTTGGAAGCAACGTTTAAAAAATAACTGTGAGCCTAGCCAGCATGGCTCAGTGGTTGAGCATCGACCTATAAACCAAGAGGTCATGGTTAGACTCCTGGTCAGGGTCCATGCCCACGTTTGAGGCTCGGTCCCCAGTGGGGAGCATTCAGGAGGCAGCCAGTCAATGAATCTCTCTCATCATTGATGTTTCTATCTCTCTCCCTCTCCTTTCCTCTCTGAAATCCATATATATATATAAATTTTTTTTTAATAGCCATGAATCTCCCCCTGAAGAGATTTTGCTCTATTACAAGAATCATGGGTGTGTTTTTCCCTTTACTTATAACAGGACATGACATTTATGGGTGAAGTTAAAAATAGGCTGATGTCACCACAATGCTGAAGAAGCAACAATATGAATGAATTAATAAAAGGAACTTAGGTTGCCCTAAAACAATGTGCTTTCAGTCGTTAGAGACACTTCAGCAGGATCAATGTGAATTCAGAGAGACTTTAGAAGCCTGAGCTGGATGACTTCTAGGTGGCTTTTCAGTCTAAGAGTCTATAAGGGGTACATTTGTAAGATAAAATATATATACACACACATATTCTATGTTTAAAACACATATAAGATATAGGAAGACAGAAAGAGAAGAGGGGGAAAATGAGCACACAGATATTTAATTTAGCTTTCAAAGACTCAATGAGACAGCTATGACCATTCCTTTCCATAAAAAAAACTTGAAATAAAATGAACCTAAGAACATTACACCTCCCATCTACCCGCAAAACATCATATCAAAAATAACATTTACAAGCTTTCACACTACTGTGAAAATAGAAATTGGTACTACTTTAACTTTTAGCCTACTCAGAAGTATCTATTCAAGCTGAATATATTCATATTCTATGACCTAATAATTCCACTCCTAGGCATATACCCAACAGAAATGCTTACATAAATTCACCTTAAGTCATATATGACAATGTTTGTAGAAGCACCACTTAGAATAAGCTGTAAGCTACACAGAATTCTTTAACATTAGAATGAATAAATTGTGGAATATCCACACAATTAAATATTATATAACAATTAGAACAAATAACCCACAATTGCATTCAACCATATGGTTCAACCTCACAAATGGGAAACAAAAGAATCCAGACACATAGAGTATATAGATTGTTACCTATCATTCATGCCAAATACAAGAATAGGCAAAACAAAGATATGATGTTAGAAGTCAGAACAGAGGTTACCCTGATGGGAGAAGATGGTGCAAGTGATTGAAAATGTGGGGGTTTCTAGGACACTGATAATTTCTTGTACTTTGATTTTGAAGCTGAGTGCTTAAGTGTGTTCCATCTCTACAGTCTTTGAATTGTACACTTATAAATCCTTTCTGTATGTATATTATCTATAATAATAAAAGTGTAATATGCTAATTATGCTGGACAATAGAACGACCTCCCAGGTGTCCTTCCCGACAACCTTCTGGACGAAGCCAGAGCTGCAAGGGCCAAGCCCCTTGCACGATGTGCATCGGGCCTCCAGTAACTCAATAAAGTCAATAAATAGAATTTCACAGCCCAAGTGCTCAAATCACAGTTTACTTCTTGAATAAAAAAAGAAAATCACCTTGTAAAAATTAACAACATTTAATTTTGGAAGTAATAGAGGCAAAAATCACTAGAAACTACCAATAAAAAATAGTACATAGAGTTGTGAAATATATAGCTTCTTTTTTAGATTAATGACCAACATACACACCTCAGATATGGAATTAGCCAAAGCACAAAAGAATAAGCAATACTCAATGCAAAGGATATACTAGGCTGAAAAATCACTACCCTATTAAAAGTGGGATGCTTTGTGTTGAACGTTATCATAAGCACACTGAGGGCAGAAAAACAACAGAGCTCTCTTGAACCCCAGACTTTCCACAGCCCTCTATAAAGGTTCTAATCCAAAACACTCATTTACTATTTACTTTTTATTATGATAAAGCAATCGCTGTAAATACAAGGTATGGCCTCTTCTGTCATAAACAGGCACAATAATCAGTGAACTTGGCACTACAACCTTTCACTCTACGTTCCCTTCTAAATACGGGCATTTATAATGTGCTCTTGGACATAATGATACATAGGCCAGCCAACTTAGTGTCCTATCACTGAACTGCAGCACCAGGAATTCAAGTAGTCAATGATTTGCTGGAGTCATGAGACGCCACTTTCTGACACACAACAAACTCATCCCTCTGCATGGAAGTCGGTAACCAGGCAGCTCTCTGCCTACTGGGGCCAGGGCACGAGCTCAAGGCCTTTTAAATAGAAAAAGCACCAGGGAGGAGGCTCATAACACAACACTCTCCCTGAGCCAGCCAAGCACTGCCCAACCAGTCAGAACCAAAATTAAGGTAGCCTTATCTCCAAAGTTGGCTAACTCCTCCATAACAAATATTTCGAGAGTTGACTTAGCAAAAACACTGTTTAAGAGCAGGCCTTGGATCTGATCTGCGTCCCACTAGCCATGTTTGTCTTGGCAATTTACTTGATTCTCAAACCTTCAGTTCCCATTCTGGAGAAACTGGCGATAAGATCCTCTAGTTCAGCAGTTCTCAACCTGTGGGTCACGACCCCTTTGGCAGTCGAACGACCCTTTCACAGGGGTCGCCTAAGACCATCCTGCATATCAGATATTTACATTACGTTTCATAACAGTAGCAACATTACAGTTATGAAGTAGCAACGAAAATAATTTTATGGTTGGGTCACAACATGAGGAACTGTATTTAAAGGGCCAGAAGGTTGAGAACCACAAGTTCAACAGAGTAGCAGGAAATGTACACAGGTACTTAGCGGAGCCCCTACCCTCCTGGCAGGTGCTCATCAGGAAGCAGTTAATAACACTAAGCTATGTGAGAACATGAGAACAGAGTCCATCTTATTCTCCAAGCTACACACAAAGGCTTCCCAGCAAAGCCATGTGGGACCCCAGTATTTAAAACTGCAGCCAGTCTGCCTGACACACCCATCTCTCATCGCTGCTTTATTTTTGTATTTATAACCATCTTCTGCAGGCATTCATTTATTAACTCTTTCCTCCACCAAAATCCAAAAGAATTTTTGTGGTGTTGTTTACTAGCATATCCCAAGTGTCTTTAAGACAGAGTCTACCACCTAGCAAGCACATAAAAATATTCTATTAAAAATATCTAATACAGCCCAGCCAGTGTGGCTCAGTAGCTGAGCGTGACCAGGAGGTGACGGTTCAGTTCCCAATCAGGGTACATGCCCAGGTTGCAGGCTCGGTCCCTAGTGTGGGACGTGCAGGAGGCAGCCACTCAATGATTCGTTCTCATCTTTGATCTCTCTCTCCCCCTTCCTCTCTGAAATCAATAAACTTATATTTTAAAATAAATAAATAAATAAATAAATAAAGTCAAGCACAGTGCATGGCACACAGAGGCTCTCAAACACTGACTGAACACATTTATTTAGTTTAAAGAAATGTAATTTAGCAAAAGATACCTTGAAATAATAAAAGCCAGGAAGATTCCTAATAATTATTCATATGATGTCAAAGAACAGTTAAATTGGACTAGCTTATTAAAATATACCCCCAAAATAAAATAAAATATATCCAATTTTGATTCAAATCATATTGAAATTCACAATTGGGTTTCTTTTTTAAGCTACTATCTTGAAAATCGCAATAAAATGAATTCTTTATAATCATACATCAGTAACCCAGAAAAGGGCACAGACTCAAAAACAAAGACCAACTTCAAAGCACTGAGTAAAAGGTTAACTGCTAATCTCTCAGAAAAAACACTTCCCAGCATCCTGGCAGGTGTGGCTCAGTAGTTGAGCGTGTACCAGGAGGTCACCGTTCAATTCCCAGTCAGGGCACGTGTCAGGTTGTGGGCTCGATCCCTAGTAGAGGGCATGCAGGAGGCAGCCAATCAATGATTCTCAGTCATCATTGATGTTCCTACCCCTCTCCCTCTTCCTTCCTCTCTGAAATCAAGTTTTAAAAAAAGAAACACTTCCCAGCAGAGTTCTGAAAAACAGAGGCTAAAGAATCCAAGCCTACCTTGAAACCCGAATCTAACATAAAAAGGTGCAGAGATAAAACATTAATAGTTTGAAAAAAATGACTATGATCAGTATGTTGCTAGTATTCCCTGCATATCACACACTAATTTTTATTTTTTTCAATTACAGTTGACATTCAATATTATTTTATATTAGTTTTAGGTATACAGAAAAATGGTTAGACAACCATATAATTTACAAAGCAATCTCCCAATATTTCATGTACCGACCTAGCACCATACATAATCATTACAATATTACTGACTATATTCCCTATGCTGTAGTTTCCATACACTAATTTTAAAATATTGTATTTGATATTCAAGAAATAGCAAGTATAACATAATCTTCCACTCTGTTAATGGAATAGCTCTGGTAATTTCTTCACTACCTGACAAAAAGCCCAGAAGATATATATATATTCCCATTATAGACCTCAGAACTCTCTGTTAGAGGTCAGAAAGAGCCACTAACTGTCAAGTGGGCCCATCAGTAAACATAAC